CTACAATCATACAATACCATCAAGTAGAAAAATACCATATAATTGACAGCTCCGTACATATTTAATTTGTGATGTCTTATGTCACATAATAACACGATTTTGAAATAGTTAGAATCTAATGTAATCATCAAATATAAAGAATTATGGTAATTGGTAACCACAAAATTTCAAATTCGATTCTTAGTAGGAGTTATTGATCTTCTTGGTTTGAGCCGGTCAGTTATGAACAACTCAGGCTATTTTACCTCCTATGATCCTTTGCGACTAGAGTTCACCAACTTAGGGCCCTTTTTTAAAAAAATTTTGTGGCCAGTTCTTATAAATAAATGAGACTCTACCAAAATATAAGCGCAGTCTTTAAAACCAATACTGTAAAATATATGATTTATATTTCAAATAAGTATGAACGGTGTAACACAATTGAATGCAAAAATCACAGTTCCTACTTTAAAATATATGATTTGTATTTCAAATAAGTATGAACGGTGTAAATATTAGGCCTTGTGCTGTTACTCATATTGCAGGCCTCAAAATCCGACCATGTAGTAACCAAGTGAGATTTACCTAGTCTACACTCTCGGATAATAATTGTGAGTTTCCTAAACTTGTCACTCAAAAAATATAAAGAATGTTCCAAGAAAGAAAAGAGAGTATAATATACATAATAGATGGAAGCAATACCTCGCGGAGAAAGTTGATAGAGTTGACGCCATTGAAGCTCTCAACACTTGCTGGAAGAGAACATCAATGTAAGCATGATTCTATGCTATGCTATATACTTCTACTAAGCATTATTATTTCCATCTGTAATATATATATATATATATGCAGGTGGTTAGTTATAAGTTACCTGGAGATATGAAGAACAGGAAGAGAATGAAGAGTACAAGTGCAGGTGCCTTCATCCTGTATTCCATGGTGGTTCTACTCACCATTTTTCTTGATTTTAATTTTATGATTTTCAAAAGCACAATGGGCCTTCGCACTAATTGTGAAGGAGAGCTCCCCTTATATAACAGTCACATAGGGTGCGTATAGCTGGTACCACTTATGATTGGTTAAAGTAAGTCTTATGGTAAAAATTAAAAATGTCAAAATAAATGTGTACTATCTCATAAAATTACAAAATGCATAAAATGATATATAAAAGTTCAATAAATAAATAAATAAATAAATAAATAAATAAATATATATATATATATATATATAACTCTAAAAGTTCATCACGTAAAATTACAAAATGTATCCATTTTTCAATTGCACTTTTAAATATCATATATATGTTGCAGGGCACATATTTTTAAGTATACTTTTACATATTATTGGATGCAATTGTAATTTTTCACATTCTACATCCACATTTTTATAAAAAGGCTTGTTTTTATATATATGCTTTAATGTTGTTATCCTTAGCTTAGATGATTACATATCTTGTGTTTAATCTCTTGGATTGTGAATCTTTATATTATTGAAAGTTTATTATTATTGTTCTTTCATTTATTGCTTGATGTTGGTTATTTGGGATATTATTGTGTTATTTACTTATATGATGAGTGAGTAGTCTTGTGTAGGGATTGGATTGATGTTTACATTGAATTTTATGCCTATTTGATGCCTTGTGCAAAAGAGGGTTTAAAACCCAACTTAGGGTTCTTGCTCTTGTGTTAATGAGTTTGTGCACAACTTTGTCAATGCCTTTCTAGTATGAGATTTTACAACCGTTTGAGAAAAGAGTCAACAGGTTAGTATACTAGCTCGTAGACTCATCTCTCAACCGCCCATTTTTCACTAGACCCCATCTCACAACCCTTAAGTTCACCTATGAAAATATAGGGAATATTAAATGTATGTACGTCAAGATTGCTCGAGTCTATTGTGAGGTGTTGGTAGCATCACAAAAGTGGGACAACCATCATCTTTTGATTTGGCCTAACATTGGATTACGAAAGTATGTAGCATGTTGGTACGCCGAGTTGGTGTTGGCAATCTTTGAACCCGAGATTGAATTTTATTTCCCTTAATCCTTCCTTATCTTTGGCTTAAAATCAATGTGTATGTCCTTATTCCAACCCCTATCTTTGTGTTTCATTATCATACGTATTTCTACATCTCATTTTTGTTTGTTTACCTTCCAATAAATGTCTTTATCTTTGTGCCTAGTTGTTTCGTCGGTCATGCCTAAACACCAATCCTTGAGGATGATCTTAAACAAATTTATCTTTGTTTGTTCCGTAACCACTATATTGCACTACGATTAGTTGTCCTCTGTCTAATCATTATACCATGGATTACGGTCTATCTTGTAAGGTGGATTATTGATATAAGGTACATTTTTAATACATTAAATGTTCATTTTTTTGAAGGTGCATTATTTGTGTATTGAATGGTAGGCTATGAAATAATGAACATTTAGTACACAAATAATGTACATTCACCATATTAAAATGAACATTTGTTCATTGCCCAATTTGCAATGAGGACTATGGTCCATTGTAGAATTTACCTTCTTTGGTACAAAGTGAACTTCACCAAGAGCACACGTTCAAGTAGTGGCTAAAAAAATTCATAAATCAAAATGTATATAAGCATGGTGTTACATCAACTTAGGGGTTCATATATATCCACCACAATTTGTCATTTGGGATATGATGTGAAGTCAAATTTGCTATGATGTGGCTATGGCGATAGTTCATGTAATGTATCATTCCCATTCTGCATAGTGCCTTCCTATTCTTCTCTATGTCCCTTGTACGCACCACAATCACCACCACCGTTTAGAATCTTCTACTTTTTTTTAGACGATGAAAAAAAATGTGTGGTTACTATTTTTGAGGATATAGATTGAGTAAATCTTACTCTTAGCTTGACCTAGAATGCATTGTTAAGAACCGAACTCATAACTTCCAGATACAATAATTATGTTCCACATTCTTGAATATCTGTTTTGGGGCTATAAAAAAAAAAAAACAAAAAACAAAAAACAAAACAAAACAAATTTCTACTTTGCTTAGAATAACCTTAGCAATAGAAAATTTTCAGTGGTAGGAGGGAGGGGAAGAGAAAATAGATAAAAAGAGGGAGAAAAAAAAATGATTTTGGTGACAGTGCACGTGCCATACTGGGTATGAGTAGTTCTCCACGCGCATAAGTTGCGCGGTAGCTTTTTTTTTCATTTCCTGGTTGAATGAGAAACAAAAAAAAAATTGATTTGGTAGGAGAAAAAATTCAGAAAAAAAAAATTGAAAAAAAAAAAAAAAGTTCACCCTACCAATTAAAAACCTCACCCCAAATTTTTGTTCTTAGAGAATTAAATTGTAATTTCTTCAAATTAACTCATCATATGAAAGTGACCAATAACTATTTCTAATTTACACCAAAACCGATAAAATAATGGGCAACAGAGGCTTTGAGCATCCGGGAGGCTTTGAGTTGGTTGAAGCATACAGGGATGGGTTCTGTGGATGTAGAGATGGATAGTCAGGTTGTTTATCATGCAATTAGTTCGCAAGCATTTAATTCTACTTTTGGTTTCATTGTCGATGATATTAAAAATTTAGCATTAGAGATAGGTGATGTTAAATTTTATTGTGTTAAGCGATCTGCGAATAGTGTCGCCCACACTGTTGCTAGGGAGGCCTTTTCTGAGTCAGATTGCGGGGAGTGGTTTGACTCTCCATCATCTTTTATTGTAAACGTTATTCTTGGTGATTCAATGAATTAATCTTTCATTTTAAAAAAATAATGGGTGATGAAGCATGTGCAACTATTACATAACTTTATCGTACATGGTACGGCTCAAACACACGCACACACGAATTTATATTAGGTTTTGGTTGGGTGAGGTGAATAGTGAAGTCCAATGATGAATACAAGTGGAGGATGGCCTACAAATGGAATGAACAGCATTCTTATGAGGACTCAAATTAAGGAATATCATGGGTGTTTGATTTTAAAGACAGAATTAGGTAGAAAAGAATTTTTTTGTTTGGTAAGCAGAAATAGAATTATTAGAATTGAAATTATAGAAGTGATATAAAAACTAAAATGTCATTGCGTAACAATAACAACAACAACAATAATAATAATAATAATTGCGGAGTAACTCCAGTCAAGATGGCAAGAGATCCACACTAGTAACCACAAAGTAATGGGTTCAAATCCTTGGAAAACTAGCATGCTTTGTGCCAGACAAGCTAATAATGAACGCATTGATATAAAAGGGAAATTGAAGCAGGTAACGTCTTCTTGTATAGTTGTATATGCAGAATGTGGAAGATGATGTTCATACTAATACAGAGATGAGTGAAGATTATATTATTGTTTTTGTGGTAATGATTGGTTGTTTATGCAGCATGTGGAAGATGTTGTTCATACTAATATAGAGATGAAGATTATATTATTTTTGTGGTAATGATTGGTTAGAGTGATGTACGGGTTGTAGGCATGTAGACCCTCCACAATGCTTGACCAAACAAAATTTCTGGGAGATATTAGGACGTTGTGTCCCACAAAAGCCACCGCACCTTCATCGGACCATAGGAGAGTAGTATCCCCGTAACTACCTATTTGTGCCACGCCTTCTATTTTTTTAAGTGATGAAAAAAAATCGCAACTATTATTCAAAAATGAGTACTGGATAATTTTTCATTGTGATGTCACTCATTCTAAGAATTGAACTTGTCTAACCAATTTGAGCAATACTAATGAAATTACATCTTACATGGCTTTGACTGTACGTAAATGCCACCTATATACCCACCCTCCATTATTTTTGTATTTCATTCAAATTACGCGTATCAGTTTCTTAAACCTAATGTCAGTCTCATCACCTTCCCAAAAGCCACCAATTTGGAAATTATAATGTTGTTTTCTAGTTAAAAAGTTTTGAAATCCAAAATCTTGTAGTTGATTGAATCCAAGAACCTGACCATTAAAAGTGGAATTATTGGACTCAGAATTTCTCACACGTAATGCATCACTATTACAGCATTTAAGGTGGATAGTATCAAGTATCTTCTTCACTTACAAAACAAGTTCAACCACTATGTTGCGTACCATTTAACAAATAAATTACAAAAAGAAAAGGGGGAAAAAAAAAAAGCAATAAAATAGGTGGAGGGGTTTCCCAGATACATTTTTATATATAACAACCAAAATTCGTAAGATATTCCATATTCAAAACAAGACGCAAATGGGTGTGGTTTGGGGGGAAGAGGGAAGGGGAATCAAAAGGGGACCGCATAAGATCACAGCATATGTTTCATGGATGCAAAGTACTTTCTAACATTGACTTGCCAAAATGCCTAGCTGTAAACAACCGGGAAGAATGAAAAACAAAATATGCGAATCAAAATGGCCTAACTAAAGAACATATAACCTCACCCTCACGAGGGGATGAGGACAAGAAATGAATGAGATGCAATCCAACCTGAAAAACAGGATGCAACCAAACTATGACAATACCAACTATGACAATACAACAGTAGACTGACCCCCAAAAAAATAAAAACAAGAGTATTTGATGATATGGAGAAAAAAAAAACATGGGCTTAAAGTGCAGACTACAAAAACTTTGGACTTGTACATTGACACCTTAACCCCTTGGAGAAAACAGCAGCACCATAAGGCACTTCTTGCATGAAGACCAGGTTGACCTGCAAAAAACCAATGCACCAGCAGCCTTGACTTGTCCATTCAGTGCAAACTTGCCCCCCCAACCCCAATTTTATAGCACTCGATGACTCTAGATAAATATTCTTACTCAAGGCCTTCAACAACTTATCAGATGCCAGTAACCGACCCATTGACCCACTCGTTAAAACAAAGAACGGACCCCATTGATGCTGATGCATGAGTTAGTGGCAATGTGAACACTAATTGCTCCCCGTCGTTAGAATGGCAATGACTTGACACATGAATGCAATCTTGGACCTGACTCGACACAACCATATGCATGCAGGGACTTCTAATAAGAAAAATTATATACCAGGTGGCCATTGCCTCAAACTGAAATTGCACGAGTTATGGCCAACTTGGCCCACTCAGCAGATTCCTTAATCAAATGGTCTTCCGAGGACAAACATTCATTCAAGAAGTCTTTGCTTGACGCTGACTGTTGAATCAAAGAACCAGCTTCACTGCCCAGTGTATCTGCAAGATCACCAAGGACTCCAATAGCAGTTTTTGTCACCACATCATCCCTGCGAATTAAAACAATAGTAGAGGATGAATTTTTTTAAGGGAACATTTTAGAATAAAGCATCAGACTTAAAATAAATAAATAAAGCAATTTAGATTTACTTACATGTCTTTCTCCATGTAAATACTGTCCAGAAACTCCAGAATGTGAGGTGCATAAGGGATGAGTCGATGGGCCTTTGGAGAATTCTTGAATCCCTGCAGGATACCAGAGTATGCCTCCAAGATACCATTTCTAAGAAGATTGGTGTACTCTATCATCTCATCATCAACACCAGATGTGTGGGCAGACAACTCAGCTGCACTATGTAGCATAGGCATAGCATATATTATGTACTTCTCAAACTGCTCTCCTATTGCCAGCGCAATGTCTCCAAAGCACGAAAAAATTGGAGGCTTCACAGATCGGTGGAGCTGGTTGCTTGACAAATCTTTGAGAAGCAGAGTCATTATACCATCACAGAAAGGCAGAATCTTATCCTCCAATGCTCTGCATATATCACCCACAACACCAACTGTGACAGAACAAACTTGATACTCCTCAAAATTCTGAAGACCCATTTCCAGGTACTTGTAAAACTCTGACATGTACTTAGCAAAATCAGGACCGGCTGCATAAGCAAGGGCTCCAATGGCAAGCATAGCTTCTTCGTGCACAGTAGCACTTCTGCACGCAAAAACCCTGAGAAAGAGATTCATGATCTGATCTGCATACTGCATAAACACATATTTTGTTGGGTCTGACGCTCCTAGTTTTTGAATAATGACTTGTAAGCAACCACAAAGAAGAGCTTGCAGCTCACCCTGCTTCTCCCTTTCATCAGAAGAAAGCTTCTGTGCCTCGAGAGTCTGGTGGAGCTCCATCATGATGACAGGTACTAGTTGCAACACCATGGGTGCTGTTTCATCAGTTGAACACCTCACAACTTCATTCAGTGTCTCATATGCAGCAGTCCTTAACCTAGACTCTCCAGCATCTTCACGGTGAGTGACTGTAAGAAGAGACTGTACAATTTCTTGAAAGAAAGGGGTCAAGGGAGATGATGAGCCCACATCTTCATAGCCCTGTGCGAGAAAATAGAGAGCACCACATGCTTTCTCAGCAACATTTGGAGCATCTTTCATGCTCTGAAGGAGAACTGTAATAATTTGCTGACAGTTTGCTGGGGTAATAATAGGTGTTTCAACCATTGATCCATGAAGAAACTCAAATATTCTACCCAGAGTCCAAGCTGTCGTATCTTTGACATGACTATTGGGATCTTTGGTCAAAGCAGCAAGCATGAAGTTTAGTGCAACATTGACAATAGGTGTTAGCTTATCAGGTGAGGGACCTTCCAAGATGGAACCAAAGGCATATGTGGCACCCTCTCTCTGCCTCCAATCAGGTTTTGTAATGTTTTCTTCAATGAATGGCATGACAAGTGGGACAATCTCATCCCCAACTGTGCGAGCAACCAAACCAAGGCAAGTTCCTCCAGCCATTGCAAGATTCCAAGCACCTTCATCCTGATCTTGATCTTCCTCTTGCTTAAGAAGTGTCTCTAAAAGCATAGGAACTAGAGCAGGGAGAGCCTGCTTAATGAAATAAAAACATGGAACATCAGAGTCACCAGTGAAATCACCCCCATATTCTTCTAAAATATCAATCTCCTCATCACATATTGAGCTCCAGAACTCAATGGCTTGAAGAGCAACAGGCTCCTCATCCTCCCTTACAGCCTTTGCTGTTATGTTGAAAATATCTTGGATGTATGGAGCTAATTTCTCATAGTATGTTGATGAAATTGACACTAAGCATTCAAAAGCAGCCTGTCGAATTTTGACTTCAGGAGAGAGAGTAGCCTCACAAACAACTCTCATAATAAAATCACGCTCCATATCATTGTTAAAATTTGCTTGAGCAAAGCCCAAAGCATTATACAATGCTCTAGTAGCAACAAGCCGGATTTCATTCCCTTCAGTTGCATTCATACCCTGAACTACAGCTGTAAGTATTTTATTTACTTGGTCCTGGTCCACAACATCAGGAGACACCTCCTCACACAAATACCCTAGAGTTTCCAAAGTAGCTTGCTTGAGATGAGCTGGAACCTGGTGAATACTTGTCAATAGTGCACTTATCAGCTCAGGCCATTGCTTGTGTGGCAACTCGATGCCGGCAACCTTTGCAATCACTTGGGAAGCAGTTGAACGGGCATCTGGAACAGGAGAAGAAAGGGTCTGTAACAAGCATGCCTTAATCTGGGTCTTGACAGCCACATCTAGTGATAACCATCTTTGCATAAGCTCATACTTCCTATGTTGTTCCTTGGCATCCAAAGCATTTTTTAGTATCAAACCAGCTAATTTACGACTATCAACTGGCTTCTCTTCACTTGCAAGCTCCCCAGATAGCGATAGAAGAAAACCGGGAAGGTTTTGTTCCTGAAATTGCTTCAGTGTTTCTTCTGCATGTTTCCGAACAGTTGAATCAACTGATTGTGCATTGAGAAGAACTTGGGTGACTTCCATTGCCATAACTATATCTGTCAACAATCAGAAACTCAACATATTTAGATTCATAAAATATAATAAAATATACACCTACCCTTTATAAAGCAAACAATAACCAAATTGTATATACAGCTCCTAGCACATATTTTTTCCTAAGTAGTGTTCGAAAACAAATAAATAAATGCTTATCAGTTTCTCACAATGTTTAAAAAGGCTGTTTTGAGGCGCGCTTCAGAGTGAGGCGTAAGGGAAAGGTACTAAGGCGTACGCCTCAGCTGGATGAGGCGTTCGCCTTTCATGCGCCTCAACACGTGTTTGATGAGGCGTAGCAGGCAATGTCCATAAATTTAAATGATTTAAACCCAAATTATTTTTTTAAAACCTAGACCCAATCTCGCCCAGACCTAATTAGAGTAGAATTACAAGAAAAACAAATTGATCTGGGAAGAAACCGACTTGTGAAGACTGAAGAACTCGTGACACGCTACTGTGAAGTGCGACGACGGGCGACGGCGAACTACCAGGTACACAATACACCTTTTTCTCTTTTCATCATTTTTTTCTTGTTTATCTTTTCTTCTCTTCCCTCAGCGTAATCTCTTTTGCCTATATATATATATATATATATATATATATATATATATATATATATATATATTAATTTTTTACCTCATTAATTCTTTGTGGGTTGATTATATCTAAACATGGTGAATCATTCAAAGAAAAGAACTACTCCCAGTGCTCCAAGGAGATCCTATGGTGTATTTTATGAACAGTATATGTATAGGTCATTAACATATTTTTGATAAAAATTGAGGTTTACGCCTCGAGGCATGCCTCTGCCTTTTAAAAACTTGGTTTCTCACATAATTTATTTAAAACAAATTACATGTCCAGCATCAATAATTAATATGGAGTATTAGAAAGATTTACAAATGAAATCCATATGAAAAATAAAAAGCAGTAAAGAAAAAGATATGTTTTCAGAAATGGATACTATACATGTAGCTAGACAAAACTAAGGATAGAAAGGTCAATTTCTTTGTAGCAAAAGAGAACACCTAACAAATAACAGAGCTTTTGAAATTCCATAGATCCACATAATGGGAAATCTATCATTCAAGCTTTTAAAAATTAATCACTATGTGGCAACAAAATCTGAAAAAAAATACTCAGCAATTCAGTGCCCAACCAGTCGTTAGATTTTCAAGCATTCAATTCAAATGGAAAAACTAGATTGTGAAGCTAGGATACAAACACATCAATACAAAAGCCAATCCAACCAAAAGAAAATCAAATTTAACAAAACTCTACCATCGAGAAAACCACTAAGCTCAAGCTAGTTCAACTTCCGTAAAAAAATATATAACTCAAGTATAATAACTGTATAAGAGCTATGCAATCAAGTTAGATTCTGAAACCAAAAAACATAAAATATAAAAATATAAACACCAGGTTCTGCATCGCAAGTTCAAACAAGCATATTGAAATTTGAACGCCGAAATAAACAAATAGATCAGACATCAGAGTTCAGATATTCAAAATCAATCATAGCGCGGTACAGAAAATCCATCGATCAAAAACAAAAGCGCAGATCAAGCGATAAGTATATATACTTTGCACATAATCAACTTTCTAAATGGAGTTTATATATACATACACAACAATAAATTCGAGTTGGAGAGGGAGAGAAAATTACGTGAAGGACCGAGATGATGGCTGGTGAGAGAGCAAGGACTGCACTTTCAGATCGCACACAGTAAAAGCGGCGCCTGAAACCCTAACAGAGAGATATGGGAGAGAGAGAGAGAGAGAGAGAGAGAGAGAGAGGAAGAAAGAGAAAGTAAGAGGGAGAGAAGGACGCGGATGTAAAGCTGGAATTGAATTATGTAAATCTATTGCGTGCAATTATTTTTCTGATAACATTTTTATTGCGAGAATGATCTCCTGCTACCACTGACCACCTTTGTTCTAAATCAGGACCGTTCATCTTGTGGGGTGGGCCCCAACGTTGAATGCCTAAACACGCGCAAACTCTAATTTTTTTTTTCCCTTTATTTTTAAATTTTTTAGTACTACAATGTAGTGGTTATCTGGCTGACACTAAAATTTTGTTAATAATGAATATTTTTTAATATTAAAATATTTTACAGTTGTTGACACTAAAATTTTGTTAATAATTAATTTTTTATATATTAAAATATTTGAATATATTTTAGATAATATTGATATTATTTAATTTGTTTAATTAGATAATACTACAAAAAATTAAACTTATCAAAAAAAATTTATTCTAATTATAAGTAAAAGCTTTCATTCATCCTAGAGATCATCATAAAAACTTGATTACCAAGGATCTTGTAGTCTAATGGTACCACGATACTTCCCTAGTGAGAAATGATAGGTTCGAGCCTCAATAGAGACATTTGATGAAGGTAGCTATGGAATAAAATCCTATCTATTTATATAAATAGATGTAAAGTAAATCTAATTCAAGACATATTAGGAGACAAGAGAATGTTACACAATGTCTCTTTTATGACAAATGCTAATCCTATTCTACATGTGTTCTCCATGTTTGAGAGTTGAGACATATTAAGAATGTTCATTATTGGGCTCCATGCCATTTGAGCTTGTTTTACTATTGGATTACCAATTTCAATTCTTTTTCTTTGGTCTAAATATTGTTGATTTGTTGTCTAGTCTTTGTAGTTTGAGTGCATGCCACCTCCCGCTAATTAAAAAATAATATAATCATTATTCTATCTTCATTTTTATTGGATCAAAAACCTCAGTGACCTCTCGCAATAACGGTCATGCTTCTCACAATACCAAACTAAACAATATAATCATTATTCTATCTTCCTTTTAAGGCCACCAAACATTAGTCATGGGTTACTCTTCTTCACCAATATGAGGGGACTCTCATACTCGGACGCATTCTCTGATCAGGAGTTGACAGTGCACGGGATCCAATTGGAGGAAGGATATGAATGAGGTATAAGATAGGGAAAAACTAGTTGACATGAGGTGTGTTATTTATTTTTGGTTCTATAACCCACCTCGACATGAGACATGCTTTTTTTTTTATTTATTAAAAAAAATGATTGAAATTTAGAAACAGGAATTGTTTTATACATTGACTGGTATTAAAAACCTAAACTCTAAAACTTTTTTCAGAGTATCATTTTACACCACATAATCTCTGTCTCAAATGGCTATTTCCTTCCCTTACTCTCAAACGGCACTCTCATCCAAACACACCATTTTTATCTTCTCATTGTGTAGTCATCTACTATTTGTTGTTGTGAGAAAAGAAGAAACATTAAGGACACGTATACTAATGGAAACTCATTATAAAATAACACAAATTTAATTTCGAGTGACTTTTAAACCTTATATTTTAATTGTTGTTAATATGTTTGGTTTAAATGGAATAAGTATAATTTTTACTTTTAACTATAATAAATTAAACAACGTCGTTTCAAATTATAAACCAAGGTCATTTAAAAAAAAAAGAAGATAAGACGTCGGTTTAATAGAGAACCGACGTCTATACTCTTGTATAGACATCGGTTCTTTTATAAAAATTAAGTCGAAGGTATTTATTATTTAAAAAAAAAAACTAATTTGCATCATTTTGGACATAACCAACATAATTATGGTACTTTAAGACGTTGGTTAGTGAACTGATGTCTATAATTTTATATTTCGGTTCTTTTTACGTCACTTTAATAATCTATGTAAAGAGTAAAAAAGAGTAACTAATGTAAAAGTCTATAATTGTAAGAATAAATTTTTTGGATATATTCATTTGAATGACATGTATATAAATATATAATTTTTACTTAATATATGTGAAATTTTAATATCTGATATTCAGACCAAATTTGTATTATGATATAACGTAACTAAAAATATTCAGAATCAATAATCTATCTATTGAATTCAATCAAAATCTAAAATTTGATATTGAGTTCAATTATTATAATTATTACTGCAACCATTACTTAATAATGTCATTTTTTATTTATTATAAACTCTTGTACAAATACGAAAAGTACACAAAATTTGATTTGTAGTTAAATAAAAGGAACCAAAAACGCCATCTCCTATTCTCCTTGGGTATGTTGTTGAAAAATAAGAAAATAGAATAGGCTTTGCTCCAAGTAGTTTTTCCTTCTCAAGTAAACTACCTCAATTTTTCCCATTTTGAAATCCCAAGAATACAACTCTCAGGGTACACATAGAACAATTCCTAGTACACTAAGGGTGTGTTTGGTTCGCACATAGGAATCAGAATCGGAATGGGTATCAAATCCTTGGTAATGGTAATGGGTTTTGGTGGAAATATTTAACATGTTTGGTAGTAGGGTGGAATGGAAATGGTTACTAATAGTAGTGCTTGAGAATGAATAAGGGAATGAAACCCTTATTTTATTTGGGTATGAGTTTTTCAATTGATGGGATATTCGAAACCCATAATAGTGTTCTAAAAACCGATTAACCAAACAACAACAATCACTTTCAAACCCATTCCAATGGGCAAAACCCACCAACCAAACACACCCTAACTTCCTTTGATTCATACATGTTTTTCTCCTATCTAATTAGGAAAATCAACAATTTTCCTAATTGAACTCCACAACTCAATAAAAATCATCATTCATCAACAACAAAATCGTTACAATTCCTTACTAAAAACAAAAAAGAAAAAAAAAAACTAAAGAGTATCACATATTGTTGGCTTTCATCACCCGGCACCCCAACTGATAGGTGGTGATCGCTTTCAATACTTCAATTTCAACAAATCTAATACTTGAGTAAATCCAAGTCTCTACTAGATGCTAACAATTGAACCATCTTATTTTATTCAGCAAATTAACAAATCTCATTGAAATAGTAAGTAAAAAAACCAAAAAAAAAACAAAAGACTAAAGCATGCTCCCTCTACAATTTGGTCCTGACAAAATTAAATTCTAAAAGTAACATAAACAAGAAAAACTGAAGTTTGTTGAGGATTTCTTTCTTCAACCCAACAACGTAACCCAGCAGGTCCCATCCCTCTCCACTTTCCCTGTACAAGCCCTCTTCCTCCACCCTTCTCTCCTATTCTATCAGTATGGTTTTAGTATACTCGAGCTATTAGACAATACAAGCACCAAGAACATATGCATGCAGAAAGAAACAACATTTCCTCCTCCGATAGATCCTGCTTGGCCTGCCTGCAGTAGCCTGTCTGAACAACTATGGAAGAACGTACTAGCACAAGATTGAGATTGTATTCTCCAATGAAGATCAAAGCTCATCATGGTATATATCGTCCTCGTCCTTCTCATTGTCATAGATGGTATCATAGAACAAGGTATCATGATTCATCATCTCGTCTAGTGTTAGCTTTCCATCATTGTTGTCATCGGCCTGCAAGTTTTTGTGCACACGTACATTGTAAAGTTGCAACATAATATATACGCTCTAAAGTCTAAATCATGATATCGGGAGAGCTTTAATTGGCTTACCTCCCGGATGAGATAGGTGGTGTAATATCTAGCATATGACAACTCTCCGGGGTCCAAGTAATGAAATATGGGTTTCAATTCTTCCACTCTCAAAAAACTGGGAACAGAAACATGAGCAAATGATCAGGACATAGATAGAAAGATAGACAAACAGGAAATTGAATGATGTGTTCCGTCTCATAATTCTTATACCTGTCCTTGTCAGCGTCGAGGAGTGTGAATGTTTCTTCGACCGAGGGCACATCTATGCCACTGGTTTCGAATTCCTTGTAAGTCTTGTAGGTTTCATAAGCTCCTCTCTCAAATTCCAGCAGAGAGAGCTTTTGATCTTTGTTAACATCCATCTGCCTGTTATGATTATTATTGTATCAGAATTTTGATCCATTATATTGACGTTAAATACAAAAACATTGGAGAAACCAAACTGACCTTAACTTCTCCGTCAACAACCATCTCCTAATGTTGTCGTTTCTGCTGTCTTCTGGATGGAGAAAACTGCAAAGCAATTTGGATCCAATCCCAATAATGGATTAATCAGCATGCATGGCATATTGGCATTTAACATAAGCAAAAAGGTCAAGGGTAAAGAGAGTCTGTCGAGTAGTTCAGTTAGTTCCTATAGCAAATTATGGATAAAAATACATGATCAAACCCGTTGAATCACATTGATTTATCACCTCCACAAATCCTGTCAGGCAGGGTGTGGTGGGGGGATTTCGCCTTTTATGGGTAAAAATGATAGAGGGTAGGTAAAAAGAATCTATAGCTCAATTGATTCTTAAGTACTCCGTAACAAATTATGAGTAAAGATGTAGATCCAGTCACCGATGTGGAAAACACACCTAATGTGGTGAGTTTTTAGTGGGCACCGGACATCAGTCTTTCCACCTAACGAGAGTAATTAAATCACCTGATTTATACTACCTCCATAAATACTAATAGGCGGGCAAAAAGGGTAAAGGGAAATGGTGACATTACTCTCTGAATTCGTAAAGGTTGAGAGTTCCATTCCGATCAACATCAGCGTTCTTGAACTGTATCATCCACCATCCGGCGTCTCCATGCCCAGTTTCGTTTCTCTCTGTTTGAAATCGGATCTTGTTAAACATCATAAGAGAACATGAATTCTTGAAAAAAGAAAAAAAATGAAATCACGTAAGTATGTACCTATATCTTCATCTGTGAATTGAGGGAAGTATTCAGAGAACGAAATGGATCCATCGCCATCCTTGTCGCGCAACGACAATGCTCTCTGCGTCCTATAATTCAGGCGGTTAATGGCCTGTTGGGTGTTCCAGTATTCGAGTTCCTTAACATCCACGAATCCGTCGCAGGGATCTCTGTCTAAAATGGGGAACAACACCATCAACCTTAGCCCAGTGTCCAACCTGCCTTTATCATTAAAGTAACGATCATCGTCGTCGGATTTCTCAGGATTCGCCAATCCTTTCCTCCGGGCAACGATGGGGTCGAAAATGGGGGGAGCCGTCCCCTGGGTGCCGAGACGGCGGCTCAGCCCGCGGGGGCTGTAATCCTTGCGAAATAGCTTATTATGATCCTGTGAGAGTAGGAGGATGACGAAGGCGGCGGCTATGGTGTAAGCCACCACCTTCGTCATTTTTCCGGCCATTGCCTTGTAACTTTTGATGCTAATTTGTTTTGTTGTTTACATTTCTTTGTTTAATTAAAACCATATTAGTGACAGTTAGATTTTAACGGTCGGGTATCACATCATATGTTTTTGTTTTTGCTTGACATATCTCATCGAACATTGTGGATGATGTGGATGAAACAGTGGGATTAGGAGACCTCCTCCCTACAGTCTGAACCAACTTTAGATAACTCAATATTTTTTATTTCCATTTAAATTAGTATATATAAAAAATATAAATTATAATTTAAAAATTGGAGGGATCTTCTTACCTTGTTATAGACTATAGTCCTATATAAATGTGTGTTTGAATGAGAGGTCTTGGTATATTGTTTCTCCTCCGATCTGAGACAAAAAATAAGCTACATGAATGTAAGTCATATCAGTCCAATATTGCACGCATGGACAACTCAATTGATCACATGAGTGAAATTTAGGAACAATGACTCGGGATCAAGTCTTACCATGATTGTGTTTAGATGAGTTAATTTACATCTCTCAGATGCCTTGCTGGGCCTGGGGTTGGAGATTCAACCTTTTGGGAACAATATCAATCCAACATATGAAAAGAATGGAGGTTTCGAAACATAGGTGATTGGGAGTTTCATGGGGATTGAATTGAGAAATCAAGGAATAAGGCCAAGAATAGAGATACAACAAAACAGGGATATTCTATCCTTGGTTCAATTGATGTGCTTGTACAATGTAAGGCCAAGAATAGAGATCCAACAAAACTGGGATATTTTATCCTTAGTTCAATTAATGTGCTTGTACAATATAAGGCCAAGAATAGATATACAACAAAATTGGGATATTTTATCCTTGCTTCAATTGATAAATTAGCTTTAAACAATGGAGGAAGACCCTGAGGGGTTACAGAAGTCAGCTACCAAAATGTGAAGAACACCCCAAATTGGATTGTCCAGTGAGGTCAGACAAAGTGCTCAGTTGGATACTCATTCTCATATCCATTGTAATCATAGTATAGCCTTTCCCCCTTTGCAATATCTCTGCTTGCTATCAATAGAACTCTGCATTCCCCGTTTACATCGAATCTCACGCATTTTACGTTCTGTTTCTTCCTACCATCCCTGCAGTGGAAGTGTTTCCAAACACTGGTTAGCCTAGTCACAATCCTTTCTGATACCCTTTTTTTGGGGTGATGAGGGAAACCCGCAGCCACTACCCGAGAGTGTGTACTGGATAAACCCCAGCAAATGACCACAAGGAGGTAAACCAGCCTAGGTTGCATGCCCATAGTTGACCGGCTCAAACCAAGAGGGCTGAGATTCGAACTCGTGACCTTATGGTTACAAGTTTGTATCCTTAGTCATTTTGGCTGGGGTTACCCCTCCTTTCTGATACCGTTGAAATCATAAAGAGAAGGCCTAACATGGTGAATATAAAGAAAGCCGACAGATTGTGTAAAAGGAAGAGCATACGGTGAATGATTGTTGATGCCATTGATAAAGCGAGCTATGTTACTGCGCTTATCGGGGCAGATGACAAGCGATTTTGAAGGATCAGCAGCATGTAGAAGAGTCATCATGCTATCTCCATTGTCATTTTCGCGATTCTTTAAGTAATCAACATCACCAACGTACTCCGTTATTATGGTCAAGTCTCTAATGAACCGATCAGCTTCTACAGTGAACCTGTTGTAATAATACGAGCATATAAATGATGGATTTTCGAAAGAGGAATTTGGTATGAAGCTGGAAATTTATGAATTGAAACTACAGTAAGTCAGTAAATCCAAACTATACTCACCCTTCTATGGGGTCAAAAACCACCATCAGAGGTGGCCATTCACCTCGTTCTATCATGCTCTTACACAGATTTAAGGTTTCAGCATCTTCTTTGGGTAATACCTGAAATTGACAGACACTTTAGTTTTCTATACAATCTAGGAACAGCTAATCATGGATTTCTACAAAGCATTCTTAGAAATTGCCTATCAGTCCAATAAACTCCCTCATCTTCCAGTTGTAACAAAACTCGGAATATAACTAACTGGCAACATAAAACATATATGAACGAGGAACATTCACTGGCAAAATCCATTCAAACAATATGCACAAGTCTCCTGGACTATTGGCTCTTTGTGCTTCAGTAGGTTGAGAAAGTAGTTATGAACAGATACTACATTGTAACAGAGTCAGTAGTACTAAAAAAAAAGAAGTCAGATATGCAGTCAATTGAAACAACGCGAGTTAAATATACTCAACTATACCTGCATTCCTTCTCGCTCCAATGCAGCATGATTTGCTTCCCTCGGTGCCACACCCGAAATATAAGTAAGCTCGTTACTGAACTCTGCTCCAGCCGCAGTCAAAGCGGTTGCTAGAGATGCCATTTGTTCCAATCTCCTGGTGGGGTCCCTGGTTGGATTGAAAGCCAATAACTTTCTCCTCTTCTTTGACCTCCCCAAGCCACCATTTCGTTTTCGCTTCTTTTGGCTCCCTGAGGAAACTTATATAGCCAAATTTGGGACCACAAGAATCACTAAAATAAAAAGAAATGACCAAAAAAAAACATGCCTTTTGGCTTTTATATACCTTGGCTAAGTTTGCCTATTGATTCTGATGACTTTTGAATACAGAAGAAATCAACAATCTTTGTCTGGATGAGGGGAAATTCTGCATATTGTCACAATAACAAACATCATTGAGAAGCTAAAAAAATCCTCCAAACCTCAAAACTTGTCCCACAAAGAAACATAATTGATGGAATAGACCCCAAAGGCCCAAACTTTAGTTAATGAGCTGAGCATGAACTCTGGCAATCTCAAATGAAGAATGGGGTATCTCTAATCATTATCATTTAATTATAAACAAAACTTTCAAATCCCATATCAATTACTATAAAAGACCAAGAAATCACTGTTCAGTAAAAGGGAAGCCACACAAACTCATTTTCTGTGAAACATGAAAGAAATCGAAAACGGATGAAATAATAGAAGCCGTAAACATACTGGCGACATTCTTGATGTTGGAGCAAGAAGCGCATATCCAAGAGCCCTCGGGCACTGACGTGATAGCGGGCCTGAGGCAGAACAGGTGAAACCCACGATCGCATTTATCGCAAAGCAGCAGCTCATCTTCGCGCTCGCCGGAGCCGCATTCCTCGCAGCACACGTCGGAGTAATCGCCGTCGTTTGGGCCGGGTTTGGGTGGTTTACGCGGCGAGGATTTCAAAGACAGCCGCTTTGAACGTTGGGTTCTTTTCCTAAGCACGACTTTTGACGTTGTTGAAGACGCCATTGTTGCAGATACTGAGATACGCGAGATTCGATACTCGGAGTGTCGACGAGGCTGGTGGTGCGGGGTTTGGACAACAGGATCACGTTCGTGGTTTTGATGTAAAAAAAAAAAAAAAAAATTCTCCCTTGAATAATGTATATGTTATAATACTGAAATTTCTAAGATATAATAATATATTTTATGAATATAATAATGTATTTTAGTATACGTTATATAATAATATATTTTATGAACTAAAATAATATACTTTGTGTATTTTTAGACCGTTGTTCATATAATTATGCAGATTATGATCAACGCAATAATAATTTGTGGGTTTTGGAATGTTGCATTACATACAATGAATTTATGAATCTACTAATTATTGAAAAATTAAATGATAAACTTCATTTGGACCTCTATAATACTTTCATTTATTTATTTTTCCATTTTCAGTCTACATTTTTATAAATAAACTTTTTTTTTTCTAACTAATGATTACACCATTGTCATGCGATTATGAGGTATTCTTAGTATAATTTGTATTTTATGTATAATTGGTAAATCATTACAACAAATAAGTTTATTTAATCTACATCGATAATGATTACGTGTTTTTCATTCAAATAAAAAAAAAGATCTTTTTTATAAATAAATGAGATTTGATTTTAAAAAAATAAATTAGAGAATATTTTTATTTGTATTTTACTATAAATTTTAAAATAGACAATGCAAATATAAAAAAATATAAATAAATTTAAGTAACACACTATTATATTACCTGTTTGTTTAAGATTTTATAATTAAATTCTTATTATCGTAATATATAATTCAAAATCTTGTAAATTTGTTTCCAAAACCCATATTTTAAGACTTTTTTTTTTTGGATATACATAGAGTTCCTACCGTCGGACGACTAATTCCCTCGCTGAATTGTAGACACCTCTTTTAGATGAGACAGTTGGCATGGAGATTTAAAACTGCTCTATTTTCAAAATCAATGATCGAACCATTGAACTTTGAGGTTTAGTTCGTATTCTATTTTAATATAAAAAAAATAAATAAAGAATCAAGTAATATATTTATTACGAAATAAAAATACTACACGGACTAGATTTATAATTAATTTGTTCATTTATGATATTCATTGTTGAATTAATGACTTGGCAAAATGATTGATAATGAGTCAGGTTTTACATATGTAACATTTTTGTATTCCAACACGGCGCCTAGGAAATTTGATCACCAGAGAACACTAGTTACAAACGTTTCCAACACCCCTATTATCGGGTGCGCGCTTAGGAAATTTAGTACCAATTGGTCATCCCAAATATCCATATGAAAATATCCTCAATGATTTTAATTATTAATTGAAATTGTAGACGCTTTAATTATGTATTAGCGGTTTTTTTGGTCCGTCCGGTTTCTATTCCCACCCATTTCTAATATTCTACGATTGCGCACTCTGGAGTCCGGTCCATGGATCTTTCACCCAGCACACACTTTGTTTCCTCTACCAACTCGCCCGAGTTCACCCTTCTAACTCGGGTCTTGACCCGTTCATCGGTCATCGGTCTCGACGCCGAATGGAAGCCCGTCCGCACTCAGCAGTCCTCCTTTCCGACGGTTTCTCTCCTCCAAATCGCCTGCCAGGTCGACGGCGACGAAGATGCTCATGTCTCGAAGAACTCTCAACCGGTTTTCCTTGTCGACCTCTCAGCTATCCCTCTTCCATCAATCTACGAGCTTCTTAGGGACGCGTTTGTCTCGCCTAATATTCTGAAATTAGGATTTCGGTTCAAACAAGACCTGGTCTACTTGTCGTCCACCTTCTGCTCGCAGGGCTGCGAGCCTGGTTTCGATAGGGTAAGTTCTGCAATATTTCTATTTGTACTTCTGAATCTCTCTATTCAATTTCTCTCCTGATATTCTAGTTGTATAAAAAACTTCAAAGTTTTTCTGATTAGTATTTCGACAATGACTTCAATGCTGCATTTTCAGATTATTGTTTTTACATTTCTCGTTTTAAGTTGATTGTTTTGTTGATTTGTTTGCATTATACTACTTATGACTGATTACCTTTCCAAAATGTAGGATAGTCGTTCCCATAAACTGCTTTCCTGAATATAGTGGAAGTCCAATTGTGTGGCATTGTGTCAAGTGTACTTTATGAAATCAATTTGAGTTAGTTCAGTTAATGTTGTCATTTTGAAGCAAGCTGGAGTTATCAGTATAACTTGAACTGTAATGCAACAGACATATATGATGAGCTTATGAAATTCTGATTGAAATCCTTATGGTGCTTAAAATTTAATTCTGCTAGTGAATCACTGGTGACTAGGTGGAACCTTTTCTAGATATTACAAGCATATATAGCTACCTACAACACAAGCATCAAGGAAGAAGGTTGCAATCCAAGAGTTTAGCAGCAATCTGCCAGGAAGTGTTGGGCATATCTCTTTCGAAGGTTTGTGGTATGGGAGTTCATATGATGTTCATCCTCGTAGTTTCTTTGGATGGTGGAAATGGGAGGAAAGAAAAATGGAGTAGAAAGTTTTAGTTTCTCTTGTTTGAATCCTAAGAAAATGGAAGTGAAATGATGTGAGGAGAAAATAATATCTTCATCCCATCAAATATTTTTCCTCCCAAAATGGGAAGAAAATGAGGGCAATTTTTTTTTTTTTTTTCCTTCTTATTTTGATACCTGTTGATCTCTGCCTTTCAATGTATACTATTTCTCACTCTCTCCTCATTTCCTCCCATTTCATCCAAACACAAATTTCTTCTTTATTTTCCTTTTCCTCATATTTTATCTCCCATTTTCTTCCTCCCACTTGATATCCACCTAAATATAGCACAAAAGTTAGGCATGGAGTTTTATTCCCTTATCCTCTCTATGATGTGGCCTTCAATTGCAGGAACTCCAATGCAGTGATTGGTCACAACGTCCTCTCACAGAAGAACAAAAGCTTTATGCTGCAGTCGATTCTCTCTGCTTGATTCAAATCTTTGATGTGCTCAAGGCTAGGGTGGCTAATATTGTTGGTTTGTTAAGTTCCATAGTTGGTCCTCCATGCATGAATATGCTACATTTTCAGAAAGCAATGCATCTTACTGATCCTATCAGCCAGCTGAATAAGAGCATGACAGCACTAGTCTTTTCCTTTAATGGAGATAGAGTCACGCATCTAGAGTTTGTATGAAATGCTAGATAGAATATGACTGCTTGTGATGAATCACATGAAAATCAAAGTGGATATGGGAAAGAAAGCAATATAGATAAAATTGAATATCATTGAAGATTTATTTTGGAAGGGGTTTGGATATATGTACATACATGCATACGTATATATCTATATATATTTCAAGATTGGGGAAATTTTAATGGAAAGCTCTTTTTGCACATATTTGTTGTTCTGATAATGTTAGCTGTGTCCCCCTTTATCTCTATGAACAGAAAACCAATAAATTAAACATAAGGATTTCCTTTAAATGATCTAGCATGAGCCATTAATTATTGTATAAAAGAGATCTCTGTGTAGTCCATCTCTGGTGAAAAGTGAAAACTTATTAGTTCTTCATGGTTCAGTCTTCCTGTCTCATGTGTTTTCTTTAACATATGTTAACATTATCATACAATTTAATTTAGGGAGTACTGTGTGCAATGTTGGAAAGCTCCAGTCACATTCAATAGATCTTGGCCTCAAGCAGATTCTCGACATGCCAAATGGTTCTGATAACATATTGCTGGCCAAGTTTATTGAAGCTACAAAGATGGTCCAAGCTATCATTACCGACTTTCCTCAAGGAATAACCATTCATGAAGAAGTAGCTTCTACAGTTCAGTTTGCCAAAAATAAGCAAATGGATGATGCAGTCCTTTGGATTGCCAGAAAGTATGGTGATAAAATTTTACTAAGCGACTCTGACAGGAAACCCAAAATGTCGAAGAAGAAAGGGAAAAAGCCCCCTACAGGATTAATGGCAAAACCTAGACAATTAGATGGTGACGAAGATTGGCAAGGTCCTCCACCTTGGGATGTGTCCTTGGGTGGTGATGGATGCCCTAAGTTCCTATGCGATGTGATGGTATGAAACTTTATATTGGTTGTTATTTCTCAAATTGCTGGAAGTTTATATTTAAGAAATTGAGTCACACAGCCGCACAGGTAGGACTAGGGCAGGCTGTCTGCATATGCTTTCTTGTTCTCCTTTGACTTGTTGAGAAATAGAATCTATTTCTGTGTAAGGCAATATTAATACTCCAATCTTTTAGGTGGAAGGATTGGCAAAACATTTAAGGTGTGTTGGCATTGATGCTGCTGTTCCCCCTCTGAGAAAGCCTCAAACAAGGTTGTAATTTTTAAAATAAATACAAATATGAAAAAACTTGATCTGCAATTAGATTTGTTTAGTCGACACATATTTGCTGCTTGACAGTGTTGTTATTACGTTATGTTCTTGTGATCAGGGATTTAATTGAACAAGCATCTAAGGAGAAAAGGGTACTAGTAACACGAGATGCCAAACTTCTGAGGCATGGCTATCTCATAAAAAATCAAATATACAGGGTGAAGAGTCTTCTTAAAAATGAACAACTTATTGAGGTATACTCCATTTGCCACCATCCACTGTGCAATTCAATAAGTTGTATGGCTGTAATGATGAAGTTATACCCCACCTGTATTTTGCAGGTGATAGAAACATTTAAATTGGAAATTTCTGAGGATCAGCTGATGTCTAGGTGCACTAAATGCAATGGGAGATTCATCCAGAAACCTCTGACAACTGAAGAGGCTGTTGAAGCTGGCAAGGGCTTTCAGGTGATTCCAAACTGCCTGTTTGACAAGAACTTGGAGTTCTGGCAGTGCATGGACTGTAAACAACTTTACTGGGAGGTAAGCTTTTATATACTTTATTAATAGATCTATAATTCTCTACATATTTTGTCATCATACGACGAAATGATCCCCAACCCCTTTAAAACTTGCCCATTCCAACTTTCTCGCTGTTAGGACTATAGGCCATCAAAATCCTAGATAGCTAGGTATATGATGTCTCATCTCTCATGTCTGAACGTGGTGTTGGCGCATGATTTCATTGTAGGGAACCCAGTACCGCAATGCAGTACAAAAGTTCATTGACATTTGCAAGCTAAACGAGTAAGAGAAGGGCCACAATGCTTCCTAATCAATTGCCTACCACAAAGTCACATACCCTAAGCTGTCACATTTTGCTTTGTAATATAGTTGCCCCTAGTTCTCCAATATGTCTCCCCCTCGTGGGATTCCTGTCTAACTCGAAGAATTCCACCATCAATTGGTGGTTGTGCATGCCCTCGTACTAGCTTTGACAAATCTGTTTGTATCAATCCCGGGAATTTTGTTTTGTTACTTGTTGTTGGTTGAGTTATATAATTAATTAAAAAGCTTCTGCCTAGCTTATACATCCATTTTTATGTCAATACTCTTGCTCTCCTTTAATGATGTTATTGTTCTGATCATTCTAAATGCCCTAGCTGTTAGCTTATTTGGTGAAACATTGGAGAATAGCGTTTCAAACTAATAGCTTTATCTTACACTTATTAAATCACTTGAAATCAACACAACACAATCAGTCTCGTCTCATAAGGACCTTGGCTTCGAAAAACTCCGGTGATTTACATAAGAGTAATAGATTATTATATGATAAATAAATGAAGATTATTAGGTGAAAACCAGTTGGGGAAAGTGGAAAAGGTTGGAGTAATGAGTTTGTGGTGAGATTGAACTAATCCAACTTAGGTGGCGGCATGGGCCCTGAGGAATTACTTTTTTGAATCCACAGCTTCTTAGTTCTTTCCTTTTTCTTTTTTCTTCTTCGAGTTTAGGAATCAGTCTTCATTTGGTGGAAGGTGACGCAGACGCAGAGAGAATCCCCTTATTTCGTTGAGTTTAGGTGCTGTATCTTTTTGACAATTAAACCCTTTTTTTTAATTATTCAATTAACCTTTTTTAAACGCATGATTTTCGGGAAAAAGAAAATTCATATTTTGTGTGTACAAACCTAGGTAACATGGAAGGGGAAAGCAAGAAAAATGTTCAAATAAAAAAAAGGGCATAAATATGAATGGAATAATTCAATTGACCTAACAACTTGAACAATCTGATCTGCTGAGCTAAATAACTTGCAATAGTTGAACTATGCTTATACTATCTCATCATTTGATGAATTGACGTATACTATAGTTGCAGCATGTTGTTGTAGTCGTCTAAGCATAGTATTTTCTTTGGGTATATCCATGATTTTCACCAATAGACACAATAACTAATCGCTTCACTGAATTGTATGCATCTCTTTTAGATGGGACAACTGGCCTGGTCTAAACATAATATTTGGTTGTGCGATGAATGCTTTAAATTAAAAGATTGATTGACCCATACTTGCAATCGTGTGACAATACATACATACTATCTCAGCATTTGATGGAATGCTGTAAATGAAAACACGTTACCTCAACTAACTCTAGGTTTTGTGGTCGAGTGGCATAACTATGGCCCCTCAAATAAGAAGTCTCAGGTTCAAACTCTATTGTTGGGACATTGATTCTTTGCGCTTCAATATATTGAAAAAATATATATATACAAATACTATATTGTAATAGAGTCAATAATATTATATAAAAAAAAAAAAACTTGGGACTAGTATGAATAAATATACAGGACTAATTGCAAACCTAGTGAAGTAGTCATGACAATATTTGGGTTCCAGTTCCAATTTATAGAATGATCGAACCGGTGCCGGTCTATTATATCTGTCGGTTAGTGGTGAGGGAAGGTTCGGGTGACGTGTGACCCAGCGGCGGGGGCGGGCTCCAACACGTATGACGTCGTCCGTCAAATCACCAGCGTTGCTCAGTTCCACCTTTTCCTGTTTCACGGTTCAGATTCGAGTTTCACTTTCACATGCTGTGGTGGGACCACGTTCATAGGGAGAGCATGTTGTTTTGTCTGGCCGGACGTTACGTTTCGATTCCTCATTGGTTGCTTAGCGGGCCCACGTTCTTCGCCTGTTCCATTTGGGCTTAAAATACATTTTTAAAACTAAAAATTAAAATGGTCCCGGCGGGGCTCGAACCCGCGACCTTCGGCTCATAAGACCAACGCTCTAACCAACTGAGCTACGGGACCATCTGTTATGTAATTGAATTTGTTCATATATAACTTCAAAATTAACACAATGTTTTATTTAGTATGTGAGTACGGAGTAGTAAATTATCGAATTATGTATCTTTTCGTGAGAACTATTACTTAAAATATTCTTATCAAAAATCCAGTTCACAATTTTACAATACTAATAATCAAAGTCTCCCCGTGTTGAAGTGTTTTGTGATTTAATTTGCACCTTATGTGTGCAGAAAAAATCTTTATATTAAAAAGTTAAATTACATTTATACTTATGCAAACCTACATCCTTTACAATATGAAATAAAAATTACTTTTAAAAATTTTTTCAATTCTATTTTTTTTCTCAACCAAGATAGGTACATTTTGAAAAATTAATTTTTTTATTAATTTATTATCTATTTTGAGCATATATTATCAAATTAAAAAACTCATTAAAAAAAAAAGGGAAAACCTAACTCTACTTTAACTCAAAAAATGAATCACACTTAAAATTATGTCTCAAAATAACTATTATAAATAATATTTTTTCCTAATTTTTTTTTACAACATTCTGTACAATATCTTTGTCTTTAATTAAGTTACTTTACTTAAGGATAATAATTAACATCGTAAAATTACTCTTAAAAAGTTAAAAGGTTTATGTTTCGACTTCTAGAGTGTAATCATATAGCTATAAGAATAATAATGTGGCATTGACACCTAAATAGGGAGCAAAAATTTATGTTGTGTGCATGAGAATGCTACTCTTTTGACTAGCAAGTAGCATATATATATACACACATACTTGCATTCACATGAAGACGCCATTTATATAAGGACACTTATTAGTACAAATTCTATATCCATTGGATGCAAATATTGGAGTGAATGTGATTGATTCGGAAATATATCATTAGATTAATGAGATCATAATTAAAAAGGACATAATTAATAATGTACATAAGATTTAATTAGGGGTAGAATTTGATTAGGATATTATACTTGATTTTAGGAATGTATTTATAGTAGAATATGATTTTTCATGTAAAATTATCATTTATTATGCTTGAATTATTTATTTATTCCAAATTTTAATTTAATTAACATTTAAATTTTTAAGTAAATGTTAGTTAAATTATTTTTTTTATTTTTTTTTAAGAACAAATGGAAGGGGAACACTTATAGCTCTGGGTGTTCTCCTTCCATTTGTTCGATTTTTTTTTTATAAAGTAAATATGAACATTTTTTTTTATTAATATACGAGTGCGCACAAACCACTAGAACAATGCACGCACTTGGCACTTAAGACCACACTACAAGCAGACGAGTGCTCATACACTACCAAATCGGTGCAGACACCTGGCACTCAACACCACACGACAACTAGAAGAGTGCATATATACCACCAAATCAGTGCACACATACTGACACCCAGTAACACATAGCAACTAGATCAGTGCACACACACTTAAAACTGAGTCTCATTTCTCTTTCTTGCTGAGATACCTATGTAACATTAAGTTGCATCAAAATAAAAATTTCAAATCTCTGGAGTTGATCAAATTATGGTATCATATACTTACGCTGCATCGCAAATCAAGATACAAATATAAATTATAAAAACAAACGAATAACATAATCATTTTTTTTCAATCTGGATCGTTTAAAATTTAAAATTCTATGATTCGAGACCTATAGATTTTAAGAGATCACAGTCCTTTTCACAAACCAATAATCTTCATATCAGATCAATACAACCAAAAAAAGATAAAAATATACAACATAAAAATCTCACAGAAAGAATGTCTCCAGCAATTACAAAAAATATCCCAACGTAAATTGGAGCTAGTTTTCTGTTAAACGAAAAATTCCAAGTAAAAAAAATTTTAAAAAAATCTAGATAGGCGATGGCAGATCCAATAGGGGAGAATCTTTCAACCGATCACAGTGGAGATGGATCAAACGAAGCCTACCGTTTACGCCTTTACTTGTTAATTACTCATCATAATTTCTTCATGCACAGGAGATCGATCTCTTTCGCAAGAATATTGGCGAAGGCACTAGAGTTTGCTTTCAATAATGGCGGACGAGATCTCTTTCGCTGTAATATTTGCTTGCAGCGCTGCCTGTTTCGTTTCAACATCTGACGCACCTTAAGCATAAGAAATCACGCACAAGAAGGAAAGTCACGCACCTAAAATTTTAAGTTGACGCACTTTAAGTTTCAACACTGACGCACCTTATATACACAAACTGCGCGCCTAAACAACTACACCTGAAAAGGCTACACACACACACACACACATATATATATATATATATATATATATATATATATATATATCAATCCAAATTCACTGTATATTGGAGAAGGATATGTGATGATAATTGATATTACTTATTATTATATATTATTGTTGATGACCATGAGCTGAAATTTTAAAATAGAAAAATAAACTTATGGTTTTATTGCTATTATTAGCATTGTTGAGAGAATGATAATGACGACACAATTTATACTGTTGATAGATGTATGTAGCTTTGTCAGTTCTGGTTGGTTTGGGTATTTTCCAATTATAAGTCAATATATTTTTTTTGTTTTGTTTTGTTTTATTTTTTGAATGCTACTGACTCTGTTACATTGTAGTATCTGTTCAAACATACTTTTTCAACCTAATGAAACACAAAAGTTAATAACATCTCTATTGAGGTTCAATCTCATGACCTCCTATATGAATGAGATCATTACATGCCATCTAAGCACAATGTGCTTGGTAAGTTAATATTTTGTTATTTTGTCCCGATTGTTAAGTTGTTAGTAAGAAACGACCTAAAAAAAGGCTTTCAGTAGCGCCCTTAGAATATCCCGTCTGCTTTTAGCTTTTCTGACTTGAATTTGTGTTTTACTTACTCAAAATTAGAAGATTATAGTGTGTTTATTTTAAGGATTTTTAGTCCTACATTTTAGTTCTTAACTTTTTATTCTTGCAATATATTCTCATAATTAAATAAAAAAAAAAAACATTTGGAGTAACAAAATTATTAAACTTTTACTTATTACATGTATATTTTAATACTGATGAGTAAATACGCATAGAAGACTAATTTGTATAGTCGGTCCGTCAAGAAGTCAGCCAACCGGTCTGTTACGATCATCGACCCGACGGGACTAAATCACTTGTGGTCAGCAGTACCGTTCGTACCGATGGGCCTCGTGACAATAGGTGATGCTCTCGGATCACCCTTGGAATCGCCCCGATAGAAAGTCACCCGGCCGGTCTACCGTAGGGTGACCAGTCGGCCTACAAGATGACGTAGCATGCGGAGCCGAAAACGTAACTTACACGACAAGTTATAGGGTCCAACTTGCACTTGCAGAGCGGCAATGGATAGCTTGCATGTAGGGGGCTCAGCCTCATCGATTAGTCAACCTACGCATAACTGCAGAGCGACCGCCTTACTGAGCCAACGAGAAGATACCACGTCGATCCGCTTGCAGCAGGCGCGTTAAATGCATAGACCGACTTAGACATTATAAATAGGAGGGTCTCCTCATTTCTGATATCTTCATTTTCATTTGATTACAATCACTACTTACTACATTGTAATTTATCACTTACTAGTTGCAATATTACTCAGCCTCGGATTGCTCAGTCGTCGTCCGGTGAACCGACCCCGGTAGACCTATCGACCGACCGATTGACCTACGAGCGCTCTATTCTATTCGTTCACAAACATACGTATTCGTAACTCCGGTTTAATACGTGTAAAAATACAACTTTTTTTAATTTTAATTATCATATTTTTTTTCTAGACTGTACGTGTGGCTCGGACGTCCAAACCTAGCCCGGAGCTCTTCAGATGCACTATTTATAAGGTTTAAACATCCAATTTTATTATAATTATATTAATTAATAGTTGGTGCCCTAAGATGTAAGATTTTAATATATATATTTAACTCTTTTACATTTCATTCCATTAAATAAACATTGAATTTCCAGTGGGATCCACATGTTTCTGATATCTTTAGTGGCAATCGTATTCAGATTACTTTCCCGACAAGAAATTTCGTCCCAACCAACGAGGTTTTAATTTTTTTTATTTTTTATTTTCACGTCAACTTGACTACTTGAGGAGATTGAAAATCTTAGCCACTGTATCGTCAACACTAAACAGCAATACCACTATTTCAGAATAATAATAATCGTAACACACAATTATGTGACGAAATTAATTGAAAATGTATTGCTAAAAATCATTTAATATAGTGGTAAACACCGTAACAATTTAATAATTTAATATAGTGGTAAACAATTTTGGTACAAGATACCAAAATTTCTGTGCAACTAAGATTTATTGTAGCAATTGGACTTAAAACAGATTAATTGATGGATTAAAATAATGAATAGCGGAGAATAAGTCCAGTGAAATTGCAGTGATTTATTGAACTGATAACGATGAAACAGCACCTTAATATAGTGCAAGCTAATTAAGCCCACAAACCACCAAGAATAAGATTGACCCCTATTTATGATCCATATGTTTGTTTATCGGACAACAATTGACGCAAATAGGGATGATACGAAGCGAATACATGTCAATAGATTCGAATTTGTCGTATATTTGATTAAGTCTTATATGAACTTGTTTTAAATTTGTATTTTTATTATAAGTGATTTGTTTGCTTCAATCAAGGCTTGAAATACACTATTTCTCATATAGGGGAGCAACTTAGTATTAGTGGACAATAAGAACCTAAGTAGATTGTGTTAATTTTATTCATATGGTTAGCGATGTTATTATATCATGTTAGGCGATTAGTAAACCATGAAGCATATGAGTGTTATGGTTACTAGAATACTAGATTACTAGGTCATAGTATATATGGTCCATGGGTTTGGAGTACTCCCCTTTGCCTTGAACAATTTTAGTTCTCAAGGCTTTTATATATATATATAGTTAGGTTCTTGTGAGAACAGGTGCTCCCGTGCGGTCTGTACAGCATACACCATTAGTTATGCATAAATGCACCACATAGTATCCGAAAATACACCATTATGTGTGGTGTATTTTTTTTTTTTTGTGGCGTATTTTTTGGCATTTCATTATGGTGTATTCTTGAACATTGTATGGTGTATTTATACATACCTAATGGTGTATGTCGCACTGGCCCCACGGGAAGACATATTCTCACAAGAACTAATATATATATATATATATATATATATATATATATATATATATATATATATATATATATATGAGTTAATTTCAAAAATGATTAATTGATTATTGATATTTATTAATTTTTATCATTCACTTTCAATAGAATCATAAATGGTCTATTGAATATTGACTTTTACCAATTTTTATCATCGACTTTTAATTTGATCATAAATGATCACTTGATTATTGATTTTAATTAATTTGTTTTAAATTAAATTTGGTCATTCAGTTAAATATCCGATCCATTTCGTAAACATTAAATTCAATGACAATAGTCAAGGGATCATTATTAAAATTAATGACCGAGTCCAATCCCAGATGAGATGTGGGCGTAGGTCGGACCAAGTCTAATTTCGGGAGGGGGATTAATAGGCATGGAGGCTAAACACCGAGTTAGGCCGGTCTTGGTGTTTAAAGATTGCGGCTTGTTCGGCATTGGCCGGGTTGGCTGAGTTCAGCTCTTGCTCGATTTGAGACGTGGCGCGGTGGCTTACCATGGAGGGATGTGGTTAAATGCTTAATTAATGCCCACCTACTTATCACAAGTTGGTTTTAAATAGGATATGACAACCAGATGACCAAAGAACTCGAATTTACAATCACTATTCGAAGGTAGACTTGGGGTGAAACTTGCTTTGTAACTCTAGATAGCCGACAAAGGATCATAAGTAAATCAACTTAGATTATCCATAATAGATTGGCTCAAAGAAAGGTCAATAGGGGACAACCTTAGTTAAGTTGGTAAAGCTGTGGTTTCAAATTTGACTCAGTGAAAGAAACCTCTTGGCTTTCTTGGTATGATGAGCCGATCCCAGTCAGTTATAAATGAGCAATCTAGGTTGATTTACCTTTTTGTGATCTTTTGTCAGATAAGGTCACAAGACAAGTTTACTTAATGCATACTCTTAGGTAGTAACTACGGCCGGTTTCTTTCAACGCCTAATTAAGAAGACCACCGGGCGATCAAATTGTACTTGAAACATTGTAATTATCAAGTGAACTGTACGATCAGCTTCACGAGTTGCTCTTATCACACACCTAAACTCCCCCTATTAAAATCTGGTTGAATCAGATTCTCAATTCTACTCAATCCATTGCCATCTACATTAATTAATCGCACTAACATACATTGATTGAATAACTAATGCCGCAGTTAAAATACTATAAATACAGATTAGATTATAGTGTGATTAAGAACAGTAACTATGTATAGTATATCACTATTGACAGAATATTTAAAGGTATGAGCAGGTAGGCAAAGCTCAACAAACCCTCTAACCAAGCCCAGAAAGGTTACATAAACATATTCAAAAAGCAAAGAAAAAAAGGAGGAAAAGAAAAAGAGAAAGAAAAGTCTCTCTCTCTTTCTCTCTCATTGTATTTTCAATTCCTTTTAGCAAGCTGATATATGAAACCGCCAAACACAACACAACATCTCAAAGTGGCTTTCTCTCTTTCTTTCTTGCTTTAGGACCATCAGTTGTTGGAAGACTCTTTGCTTTCTGGTAGCTTTTTTTTTCCTCTCTCCACTTTTCTCTTTGCTCAAATGGATTCTTCTCAGTGGCCACAGGTAAAGAAATTCAAACCATGTTTCCTCTCTATCTTTTCTCTTCTCTATGCATGCACAGTACTATATATGATGCACCATATCTTTCTAGGGTTTAGAGAGAGAGAAAGCAAGATAAAGATGGATTTGTCAATCTTTTGCTTTGGGTTTTCAAGTTTATCTTCTTTTCTATCTTAATTACAGATTTTAAAGGTGACTTTACATACAGACATACAGATATAATCTATCTATCTATCTATCTATCAGTCAGCCCCCACTAGCTAGCAACAAATCTTTGAAATTCTCCATATCCATCATCTTTGCATGCATATGTCCTTTAGCTTAGCTTGCTCATGTTCTATTTTCTTGAAACCACTGCACTTTACCTCTCTCTCTCTCTCTCTTTCCCCAACTCCAATAAAGCTTCTTCTTTTTTTTTTCTTCCCCAAAAAAGTTAATGTTTTTTTGTTTCTATCCTTCTTCCTCCTTCAATATATTCAGTTAAAGTGTACATACATAAACTGATAAAAGCATATATGTCACTTTAAATTTGTTTTCTTTCTTTCTTTCTTTCTTTCACCTGTTTGTTTAATTTGTTTGTTTGTTCTTTTCTTGATTTTCCATCTTCTTCTGAGTTCTGAAGTTGATTTTGTAATTTTATGATGATGATGGGGCAAAATTATTATGAATCTACAGGGCATAGGTGTAGTGAAGGGTGGTGTTGTGGAGGCTCCAAAGAAGCCAAGGCCGGAAAAGGAAAAAGCTTTGAATTGTCCGAGGTGCAGTTCCACCAACACAAAGTTCTGTTACTACAACAATTATAGCCTGTCCCAGCCGAGGTACTTTTGTAAGACATGTCGAAGGTACTGGACAGAAGGGGGTTCTTTGAGGAATGTTCCAGTGGGGGGAGGGTCAAGAAAGAACAGAAGATCATCCATTATTTCTTCTTCTTCTTCTTCATCTTCCAAGAAACTCCCAGATCTTGCTGTGACGCCCTCCCCGAGCTTTCCCTGTCAGCAAAACCCTAAAGGGCATGATCTCAACCTGGCTTACCCGCCGCCCATGACTGCCAACAATTTCAGTGGCGGCGCCGGCGGTGGTATTTCTGAGATTCTTAATCTGAACCCCAACTCCGCCGCCGCCATGGAGATCCTCAAGAATGGGTTCATGGGCATGCCGGCGGTGCACCCAGATCATCATCATTCCAACGCCGCCGCCGCCATGTTCTTGGCGCCCAATCTTCATGACGCCAAACCCAACGGCGGCTTCAACTTCTCCTTGGATGGGTTCTGCAATGGGTATGGGAATCTCCCGCAACAACAACCTGCGGGGACAGCTAGGATGTTCTTCCCTAATCTTGACGACTTGAAACCCATGCCCACTGATCATCAGTTTGAGCAGCAGAATAGAGGGGAAGGGGATGATAACGATGCCAGTGGGTATTGGAATGGAATGCTTGGGGGAGGAGGAGCAGGAGGAGGAGGAGGAACATCATGGTAAATAATACTAGTACAAGGCAAATGTCATGGTCTTACGTTGGTGTGATGCTTTTGTGAAATTTCTTGTTTTTTATTTTTATTTTTTATTACTAGCTAATTTTACCTGGATCAAAAGTTGGTTTTCGAGTGTGATCGGATTGGGAAGAAGTAATTAACAGATTTAGGATTGTATGTGTTTTCTCTCCATCATATATTTTACCCTATCCATTATTTGTTATTAATTATTACAACATATATGATCTTATTCATTAGCTTATTAGCATATATATTTTTTATTCCATGCATACATAAGAATGAAGATTGAACATGATGTCTTTAGCATTATATTTCATCTATTATGCATGATATGATGGTGCATGTAAATTCTCTGATCTTTTAATTTTCACTTTTACTATAATATATGTTTGCCCACAGATGAAGAATCTGCATGCGGTGCAGAATTTGTCAATGAAGCCATATAATTTGCATCAACAAGTACTATGATTATATAGTATCCTAGCTAATCTCTCTTTGGATTCTTAATTGGATGGTGCATATATATCATCATATCCCTAGTACTATCGTAGGGTAACCCCATCCGAGTTAGTCAGACAGTTAACTTAATTGATAATTGTGAGGTCTCGGGTTCGCCTCCTAGTCTAGCCTTCTCAATTTGAGCAGCAATGGAAGCTGACCAATTTAGGCTGGTTTACCATTTATCATTTGAGTTAGTTAGAGAGTTGGTAATGAGCGTCTGGGTTCGACCCTCAGTCTAGCCTTCTCGGTTTGAGTCAGTTAGCTATGATACTGACCAACTTAATTAGGCTGGTTTACCCTAGTAGAGACTAGGTATGTGCATGTCATGCATGATACATACACACACTTTTACCCCACATGCTTTGACATCACTTTAAAGCCCTTTAATTTGTTAAAAGGAGCGGTGTGCATGCATCATTCAGATCAGATCATGCACAAAGCATGCAGTATTATAACAAAGATTAGATTTTGGAATAGTACAAATTAAAGTGATATGGGTGCATATATGCTTTAATTTGCCAGCCAGAGACCAAGATTCTTTGTGAGATTATTAGAGTTAGATCAGATCATGGGATGATGTTGATGAATAGGTTTTAGGGATCTGAGCATTTGATGATACTGGTAGCTAGGCATCATCATCATTTTAAATTTAAACTCTCTCTTCTCTCTCTCTATCTCTCTGGAAAGCTAGTGCATGTAGTGATGATGGAAGAATATATGTAGCCATATTCAATTCTTCTTATTATGCACCATGGCTAGTTTGAGTGCAGTGCATTATTTAGTTTTGAATTGGACCTACAATCATTCTTCTTGAGATTTGTGCTTCAAAATAATTATTATATCTACTCTCTCTCCTACTTAATCAGCTTCTTCCACTATATATAGTGCCTACCTAGTTTTGAATGCTTTATTTATTGCCATAGATAAAGTTCAGTGGAATGGAGGACCCTTAGCTTAGCTTTTCTTGCCACATTTTACCCATTTTCTCCTGCAAATTAAATTTTATTTTCTTCTCTCTTATATATATATATATATGCAGTGTTTACTCTTTGCCCGCATTTGCATGTTCAGGTTGTCATGAAAAAACATCAAGAAAAGTTTACAATGTTGTACTATGCCATTAAGTTTTGTCTTGTAATTAAAAATATTATTATTATTTTTTAATTTTTTATTAATGTTGATGTGATCTACTTTTCCCTACCTGGTTAATAATTGTATCTTTACGTACCAAAAAGAAAATAATTGTATCTTCCACTTGTGTATCATGTTTGGACAGCCCATCAGAACAAAAATGTCATCCATCTCCTATATATAATCCCACAAATAGATTCTTGCTTTTTCAAGTAGTAAATGTTTATGCATCTTTAAGAAGCTAGCTAGCTGGCAACCTGGATTATAGGCTTCCTTGCCTTATTGCATCTTTTAGTATTTGACTAGTGGCTTGCACACATGGCGCCACACCCACATTTCTATAATTAGGGTTTGTGTTGCATGCCCAACATACCATCCAGCTCCATATTAGATAATAGAAAAGTTTCGATTAATATTAGCACCTTTTTTGGTATAAGATACAACCACATATATGCTATTTAAGTTGTATCGGGATTTTCATTTAGACGTATCGAGAACGGTTAATACTTGTCTTTACAATACCTGGTATAATCATTTGGTTTTTCAGTTTACGTCAAATTAATCTTAATAACTATTGGAGGAAGTAAATCATGAGTTGCCCTGTCAGTCTCCAAGTATCCACCATTTGCATGTACGCTCTATGTACCAGAGGTCTTCATCTCCTTCAAAAAGCTATTCCTAGCAACTTTTTCAATTAGCTCTTTGAGAAAAAAAATTATACCAAACAGCTATCAACTAACAGCTAACTTACCAAACACTTTTTTACAACAGTTAATGTTATTAGCTAGTTATACCCTCTAATTAACACAATCAGCTGTTAGCAATTTACCAAACAGGGCCTATATTATTCCACTTTCACGTGTTGTAACACCAATCTACCAAGTATGATCTTACCAGTCTGCAACTACTGTGGATGGAGAAGTGAAGACATAGTAGAATTGACATAATTGCAGGGTGTATTATTTATCGCGTGCGCAGGTCCATAGTGGAGACAATGTGAAGGCACGAGAATAAGATAATGATGGAGCAGAAATCAACAAGGCTGCAAAACACCATTGACCTGCATAATTCTGCTTCTATAATAAGAATATCTTTCCTTTTTTTTTTCTCTGGAAATGAAGGAGTGGTCCCAGGATAAAGCAGATGAGATTCTTGGTCTACTTTTACTAGGAAAATAATTTACAATCACATTCCCTGTTTCTTTTTTATTCTAAGAGGAACAAACCAGGTAATAGAGGGGAGTTTCTGTAATTCTGTCTGTAGCTTTTGGACAGCTAGGAGAGGCAGCCATTTATGCTGAAGTGAAATTCATTCAGTATAGATCGATTGATTCAAGCACCCGGCGAGCTTGAATGTGCAGAGCTGTTAACCGCTGTTCTGGATCAAGGGTTGAGCCGAACTGGCTTGCTGCCCATATCAATGATGCGGATTTTTCGCCTAGGAACCTCCTTACGTCTTCGTGTATTGTTGCCATGGGTAACTTATCCCTCCCATTCACATGCCCTATGAGAAGCAACAGAAACTCTCCGCATTTCAACCTGCTCCAACAAAACTAGTCTGAAAACCATTGCAGCAAACATGCTCAATAAAACTGGCAGTCGGTAGAGGAGACTGCAATCTAAGCATACCTTAGGTTTTCGTCTACTTGTTTGTCTCGTATTAGTAAAGCAACTTCCTCTATGCCATTGCAAGCCTCAAAATCCTGTTACATCATCAGTCAATACAGATCATTCTATCATCTTTTTGTTCTAACTGCTATGTACCATACAACCCAATATTCAAATGTCAAAAAATCTATCACACTTTAATGGCATCCTCTTTCAAAAAATGTTGTTGCAACTGAAATATGCAGTCAGGGGATATGTATGTAACAGAGAAATTTTAGAACTGAAATATGCAGTCAACTGAAAAACAAATTTGGGAAGGCCAAAAAGTAATTTTGATACACTAGTACATATGTATGTAACAGAGAAAAGTTAGGGGAGGCAAAGGGCCCTGAATCTAAACCCTGTATGCAGTATTTTATAGAAAAAAGCAGAATTGCATACCATTTGATTGGTTGATGAATCCAGCAGTATTGAAATCAATGCATCTAAGCATGCACCTTGCTCAAGTACCCCTCGATTTGATAGTATGTTCATTAATACCTGTTTAATACCCATCAAGTAAAGCATAGCATCACAATAAATACCTAGCACCAATATCAATTGTCAAATTCTTAAATATGGAATGTCCAGGCAAACCCGTTTTTGGTTGTACAAGCATGAAGTCCAAGAAAATTCTTCTACATTATTTACATACCGGAATGGCCTTGTATTGATGTGCCAAAATGGTGCTCTCCTGATGAAGCAGACAGCAGCCCTCCAAAACTCTAAGTGCAAGGGCAACTTCAGCATCAGTAGAAGGACTGGTTATTTCCATGGGTTCAACAGTGAATATATGGTCAAGACTATCTACATTCTGATCCTCATGTTCTCTCAGTGAATGTTTAAACAGCACCGGAACCACTGCCAAGTGTAAATCAATGTGTCAATAGCCAAGCCAAATTTCTAACTAAATCAACTCTATCAATCGTTCTATCATTAATTGTTTGATACCCAATTGAAACAGCCACTTCTAAAGATCATTAGCAGTTATATACAATATCTCTGGATGGGATAAATGGAATTGGATTACGAGGTGGAAGGATATGTAAGGCAGAGTGGATTTCGCAATTAAGAGAAATTTGCAGAAACATCAACAACTACTATATTCTTGAAGTGTTTTCCAGATGGCATTGTGTGCTTGTTAGATGACGTTTGAGACTTGGAAGAGATTTCTATTGTATCCAAAGAAAAGAGATATCTTTATCAAATTTCACCAAATACTTCATAATGTTAATTATCCATTCCTAAACATGCTTTATATCCAATAGGGATGCAATTAAACCTAATTCTCCACTACTCAGATACCTTTGCCTAATTCTCAACTCCATCATCTCTGTCATTTTCTTATTTGAAGAGAAAAATAAAATATAAATCGACCAAAATGTGCAAAACTCAAACATTTAAACCTTGTTCTGAATCTCCCAGGTCAAAAAAAAAAAAAAAAAAAAGGAGAAAGGAACGACCTTGAAGCTCAGGAATGGATTGGCTGTGGCAGAAGAGGTTGATGGTGGCGTCAGACTCGGCTACAGATCGGAGGAACTTGTGGATGGCGTTCAAGGCGCGGACTCGGAGAAAGGAGAACTCAGCGCGTGCGTCGTTTAGTCCGGTCCGGAGTGCAAGTGTGATCTCCCTGTACAATCTCTGCCTATCTAGCGAGTTAACCAGGTCCGCCACCGGCGATTGCGAATCATTCTGAGTTCCGGCGTTCGCCCCGTCCCTCCAAAACGGTGTCTTTAGATACATCTCTTTCTGTCTCGATTGCTACACACAAGAAACTGGAGATCAACTAAAATGCCCACAAACATGAAAATAACGGAATAAACTCATTTTCTACGGCTCAAATTACTTACGGACCTACGGTTTAAACCAATTTTTAAAATGATTAATTATCACCAGGATTTAGTTTTGAAGTATAATAGGGAAAATCAACGATTTGGTCCCTCAATTGTTAGCGAAATATCAATGTAGTTCCTTAATCGTGAAATTATTGATTTAGTCCCTGAAAATAACTATTTTTAGTTAATTTATCCCCTCCAATCGTAGTCCGTCCAAAATCGGGCGATAGCTCCGATTTGCCATGGGTAATTTTGTCATTTCGCTTCTTTAGTCTTCTTCTTACCAGGGCTAATGTTTTGGTTAAGTGTCGTAACTGAAGTTAACGCAAAATCCACCAAATCCTTCCGGCCGATCCTTCGCGGCGCCATCTCGCTGAATTTCATGGTCTCCTCGTCGATCTTCCAGAGGTTAAACGACGGCGCGGCGCCGGCAGCGGAGGAGTTGCAGAGCCCTGCCAGGATCAGGCGGTCGTTGGATGAAATCAGGAAGCCGGAATGCGTCCCCGGAGGCCAGAGAGTTTGGATGCCGCTCCATTGGCGGGTTTTGAGGTTAAAGGATGAGATGAAACAGGAATCGATCCCTAAGACGAAGAGTTTTTGGTTGAAGAGAGCTACCAGGATCAGGCGGTCGTTGGATGAAATCAGATGAAATTACAAGCAGATCATATTGTAATGCGACTATAACAAAGCACATTTGCACCAGTAGTGTGTTTCCCCTTGTAGTGGTTGGGATCAACCCCACCAAATACGATTTCTCCCCCGTCTTCCTCTTCTGCATTTCGGTTGAGCCAAAATGAGAAGACAGACTCATTAACTATACCTTGATCAACCATGTTGTACCTAGTACATGGGAAGTGTCAGAATAAGTAATTAAATTAAAAAGGATACTAAAATTTAAACCTATGACAATATATAAATCCCATAATGTATTTTTCTAAGGATAAGGTGAATGTAGTTAAATTTTGAAGGAAAACTTTCATACCAAACTGGAACAGCATTTCCAACTGAAATCTCCTGGAAGCCAAGACCCAATATAACATCAAACTTGGCAACCAAAAATGTCAAACTTGGCTCTCTGGTTGCCTCAATAAAGTCCTGCCATACACAAATACCATTAGATTTCAAATGTCAACCCATAACATTGTAGAAACCAAAGCAAAGACCTAAATTCACCTGATGTTTTACGATGAGATCACCAACTTGAACATTATCATTACTGAAGAAGCCAGATATTGCTCCAGGCCCATATTGAATTGCAGCAGCCGTTCCTGATAAACATATCGATCCCTAAGACGAAGAGTTTTTGGTTGAAGAGAGCTGTCAGGATCAGGCGGTCATTGGATGAAATCAGGAAGCCGGAATGCGCCCCGGACGGCCGGAGAGTTTGGACGCCGCACCATTGGCGGGTTTTGGTTAAAGGATGAGATGAAACAGGAATGGATCCTTAAGACGAACAATTTTTGGTTGAAGAAAGCTGAGCATAGGGATTGGGATGAATTCCGCGTGTTGAACTCCGACAGAAATGGCGGACAGAGCTCCCATGAATCTGAGCACGGATTGTAGATTTCAACTGCGAGACAATCCTCGATGTCCACCAGGCTGCCGACGAATTTCACCTCGCCGACGATGATGAACCTCGGAAGCTTCGAACCACCGTCGTTGAACATGCCCACGAGTGGACTAGACCGCAAGAATCTCAGCGCGCGCACCTGCCGCCACGCGCCACGGAGGATCGACTGGAAGGATTTGGTGGATTTTGCTCCAATGCTGCGTTAACTTCAGCTGTGACACTTCAGCTGCGACACTTAACTTCACCGGCCCTGGTAAGAAGAAGACTAAAGAAGCGAAATGACAAAATTACCCATGGCAAATCGGAGCTATCACCGGGTTTTGGACGAACTACGGTCGGAGGGGCTAAATCAACTAAAAACAGTTATTTTCAGGGACTAAATCGATGATTACGCGATTAAGGGACTACATTGATATTTCGTTAACAATTAAGAGACCAAATCGTTAATTTTCCCAAGTATAATATTAATAGTTATATTTTTTAATCCAATTTTTAAAATGATTAATTATCACCATGATTTATTTTTGAAATTTTTAGTGGGTAATCTTTTTAGAGTTTGTTATTATATTTTTTTTAAAAAAACATAACGAGAAAATACTTTTAACTAATTTTCGAGTGCAAAACATTACAAATAAAAGGTGGATGGTCCAGCCGCTCAATTCAATTTGACAAAGAAAGGAATTGTCGGATTAATAAATATGTAATTCAATTCATTGATCGTTTAGCCAAAGAGATAAAAAATATTTGAAAATTAATTAAGCAAATCTTTTATATCAAGTAAAATAAGATCAAAATAAGAATCATAACTAATAGAATTTAATCCTTGAATAACTTGAAATGCATTCTTCTGATCTGGAAAAAGTCATAGAGCTCTGAGATTTCATCTAACTGGGATCCTCCCTGATTATCATAGTTTTTAACCTCCTTTGCCGAACAGGCTCCTTTCCATGACATACACTTTGCAGCCTTGAAGCCTCCAAATTCATGTATGAGAATCCATCCAAATCCCAAATTAAGGTACCTCATCCCCTTGAAGCCAGTTTATCACTTCTTCCGAGTCACTCTGGACTTCAACCTCTCTAATCCCCTTACTCCAAGCCCATTACATGCCTTTTTCAGACTATCTACAAATCTACAAAATATCAAAGTATGATACTCCTAATTCTTACTACAAGACTTTTGGATTAAAAATAACATAAAACGATTAAGGTATAACTTTCTCCCAAGCTTGTGGGTAGAGGTGGCTACAGGCCGGTCCAAAGTTGAACCAGTCCTGAATTGATCCAGAAAAAATGGGTCTGGGCTTCACCAGGCTTGGGCCAGACTTAGCCCAAACTTAAATCTGCGTATTGAGGATCAGTTTAGATCTTATAAAAAAAATAGCCCCGAGCCCAGCTAGAAATCGGCCCAATCTCAAGCAAAATCTAGCATGGACTTTATACATTATATTATAATACACTTTATAATATTTATAAGTTATCAAATAATATTACAAGTCTTATAAAAAAAAAAATTAATAGTACAAGTTCAAATGTAATTAAAGTCTTATAAATTTTTAATTTTGTAGAGAATCATATTAATTTTTTATTTTGAGCTTAATAGTTAAAATATTATTTTAAAACAAAAATATTAACTTTGAAGAATGCGTGTGAGTATATATAAATTAACATTATTATATCAAAAGATTGAATTAGTTTAAGTGGTAAGAACATTCGTTGTTAATCATGATGTCAATGGTTTAAATTTCATTTCATTTCAAACAAAAAAATATATAAATATTTTAGATAAAAAATACAAAAATTCTAGCCATAGCCCGGGACTGGCCCACAAAAGGCCCGAACCTAGACCCAAGACCAGCTCGGCACGGGAACGACGTAGGATATCCTGGGCCAGCCCTAATCAGTGCTAACCTAGGCCCAGGCTAGGTCTGGGCCTAGCTCGAGATCGGTCCATACCCAGGATTTGGCCACTCAATCATTATTCCATTGATCATGATCCACACATTTGTATGAACCATAAATAAAAAAAAATACATTTTTAAAAATATACTAAAAGTACATTACTTGTATACATAAAGTACAATATTATTATTATTTTTGGATATCATAGAGTACATTATTTGAAAGTACATGATTTTATATATATTATCAAATAATGTACATTCAGTACACAAATAATGTATTTTTAATATATTAAAAATGTATATTTCATTCATGATCCACACAGCTATGTGGACCATAGTCCACACAATAATTTGCCTTGGCCACCTCTACTTGTGAAAGTTGCCTATTGACTTTATCAATTTGAGCTAGTCAGCTATGGACAAGTAAGGGTGCCATGGCCCCAAATTGGTTCATACCGCTCAATCTAATTTTTACTCAATTAGATCTGACCTTTTTAATAAAAAGGCCAGGCTTGAACCTATATTAAGGCCTATTTAGGTAAATAGGGGCAAATTATGCTATGGACCTGCGTCCACCATGTGCATGGTGAATACGTTGTACATTTATAATTTCTATACTGTAGATTCATAATTTCTATACCGTTGATTCATAATTTTTAAACTGTAGATTCATAATTTCTATACTGTAGATTTATAAAATATATACTGTAAAAAAATTAAAAAAGAATTTCAGCCACCGGCTGTCCGGCAAGGACAACTGGTGACTAAAATTTTTATTTTATTTTATTTTTTAATAATTGAATAGACAACCTGAAAAAAAAGTCAATCGAAAAAATTTAGCTGGTAAAGAGGCTGATTAGACTTTAATTTAATTCGTGGTAGAAATCGAACACTTGGCAGTAGATGGGGCTATTTGACACTTTTGCCTATATAATATCTATATTATATATTTAAAATGTACTTCCTCCGTCTCATTTTATGTGTATGGTTCGATTAATGAGGCTTATGAAGTTATTTTTAACTCAATTTTTTATAATATTAAGTTAAGTATTAGTATACAAAATTTATATATTTAAAAATTATACTAAAAGTACTATTAAACACACAAAAAAAATTAAATTTAAAAATAAGTAAAAAAAAATAATAAAAAAAAAAACAAATAAGAAAAAGTTGATTTGACCAATGAATAGTAAGTGGAACAGATAAAATGAGACAGAAGGAGTATTAGTCCATGTATAACCTAATATTAAAATTTCAATTTTAATAGCTCATTGTGAATATATAAAATGTATTAGCAAATGTGTATATAATATACTAGTCAATGCTCTAATTTAACTCCTCCGGTTCTAATTCGACTATCTATCGCTCTCATCATTATCCTGTACAGTTTAATACCATAATTTCTCTCATTTGGTTCTAATTTTATTATCTATATCTCATATTACTTCGTACTAGCAGACTGAATCAGTCAAGCCCTACATTTCCGTCGACCGGTGTGCCTCACCATCCAGCTCTAGTCCAGCCGAAGCAGAGAAGAGAGAAGTCCAACTCCGTTGGTGAAGACAAAATAAAAGGCAAGAATTTTATGTTCTATTACTATTTATTACTTTATTAATTATTTATGAATAATTCCTAACAAATGGAATAGTTATTTATTTTCCATGTATTGTTTCATCGTATAAGAGTTATTTGAAGAAAAAAAGGGATTCTATCAAGGCCAATTTTGGCATTGTTCGAGGCGGTCGGGTGCCGCATAGCGCCGATCGGCGTCGATCGGAGCCTAGGCGCTAGGCGGCAACCGGCCGTCTCAAACAATGCCAAAATTGGCCTTTTACGCGACCGGGTGCTTAGGCGCCGCCTAATCGACCGAATATACACTATGCAACATTTTTTAGGGTTTATTCGCTCAAAACGGTGTTGTTTTGAGCGAATAACCCTAATAAAAATCGCGTTACTAATTATCTAATTTCGAAATTGTTTTTTCTCCGCCAAACAAATTCCGCTCGTCCTCCAATCCAACGCCGTCGTTTGTATACAATTTACATTTAATCAATTTAGGATTTATAGTTGTTCTTTAGCAGTGGCGGATCCAGGAAAAAGTGTCAGTGGGGAGAAAACATTATAGTTTGAAAAATAATGAAACACTTAAGAAATATAGTATAAATATTGTTGGATGTAGACGGAAAATGAAACACATTAAAACTTTATAAAAATATTCATAACAAAATATGAAACATAATTGATTTGATAAAATAATTCAAATAAAAAACACATTATAAATTATACATCTCATTATTAATATAATATATAAAGATATGTATATATATATATATATATATATATATATATATATATATATATATATATATATATACACACACACACACACACACACACACATACACACACACACACACACACATATATATATATATAGGGAAGTGATCAGGTGCATTTGTGGCTTCCCGTGCGGTTGTACGGTTGATTAATGTGCGTGAGCTTTGTACTTAATTTGCGTGAGTCTTGTGCTTAATGTCCCTGAGCTTTGTACTTAATGTGCGTGAGTGTGTAATGTTAATGTGCGTGAGTTTTGTACTTAATGTGCCTGAGTCTTCTGTTTAATGTGCCTGAGATTTGTACTTAATGTGCGTGAGTAGTTCAGAATTATGAGCTCAGAAGGAAGCAGAACATAAAATTTTTCACAATCTTTGAAGCTTTCATTAGCAGCTTCGCTCTCATTAGCAGCCCCTCAGTATGCAAAGCAAAACAAGACAAAATTCATTCTTCCACCACTTCGAAAGAAAAACAAGAAAAAAATGCAGCAGTGGAGGCACATAATTTTCACAGCACTGGATGAAGAACACACTCACGCACATTAAGCACACAACTCACGCACCTTAGGCACAAGACTCGCACACCTTAAATACAAAACTCATGCACATTAAGTACAAATCTCAGGCACATTAAACACAATACTCACGCACATTGAGTACAAATCTCACGCACATTAATCAACCGCACAACCGTACGGGAAGCAATCAACCGCACAAGAACCTTTCACTATATATATATATATATATATATATATATATATATATATATAGAGAGAGAGAGAGAGAGAGAGAGAGAGAGAGAGAGAGAGAGAGAGAGAGAGAGAGAGAGTTAATACCTAAAATTGTCCTCGACTATACTGATTTTTCTCAATTTCGTCCTAAACGACTTTGGTGACCTAATATAGTCCCAGAGTGTTTCGCTCAATTTAGTCCTCCGTTTGTTATTCCGTCAAATTGGTGTTAAATAAAGGGACAATTCAATAATATCAATATTGACCTCTCTTTACTTTCAACTTGCGAAATGAGAAATCTCTCTTTCTTACACGAATTACACCCAGAGTTACTCTCAGACCTACGAATCAAATTTTATATTCGCAGTTTTAGAAGTGATTTTGGGAGTAATTCGTAAAAAAAAAGAGGGATTTCGCACTTCACATGTTTATGAATAAAGAGATGCCAATATTAAAATTACTAAATTGTCTATTTATTTAACAACAAATGGACGGAATAACAAATGGGAGACTAAATTGAGCAAAAACACAAAAGTCTGGGACGAAATTGAGTAAAAACACAAACCTCTGGGACTACATTGAGTCACCAAAGTCGTTTAGGACAAAATTGAGAAAAACCACTATAGTCGAAGATGATTTTGGGTATTAACTCTCTCTCTCTCTCTCTCTCTCTCTATATATATATATATATATATATATATATATACACACACACACACACACATAAGCCAAAAGCCATAATGAAACAGACAATTTGGAAAGGGATTAACGAAGCAATAAAAAAAACCCTTAATTGAGAGAGGTAGGGTTCGAACAACAAACATCTCCCTAGTCCAAACATGTCTTTGCCAACTCATCCAACTTAACTATTGTTTGTTTTTATCAGTTTTTAAATATTTATATGTAAACCATGTACTATATATACATGTATACATACAAGGGCTATATATAGGGTGGGGGTGGGGTGAGTGGGAGCAGCTGCCCCCATGCTAAATCCGCCCATGTTCTTTAGGTAATTATGTTAATATTGAATATTTTAGTATTAAGTATTAGTATTTTATTGTATTAACTGTACTATTAAAGTATTAACTATTACATACTTTATAATTATGAACTTTTAAAAAAATGAAGAAAAATTTAAAAATAAAGAGTAATAATAATAATCAATTAAAAATAATAATAAAAAATTGAACGCCTATCTATTTTTTCAACATTGATTGAAGCCTCGATGAATGTTGATGTAACTATATATGAGTTCATTATTTATGTATTGTTATGAACTTATGATGTTGGTTTTGTTGTAATTCTCAACTAGTTATTGTGTTTGTACTTTGTATTGAACTTGTTATGAACTAGTTATGGCATTTTATGAATTCATTAGTGTTAATATATTAGTTAGTATGTTTAGATGATTGTAGGTTCGCATGTAATTCTGGACATTGCGATTTGTGAACTTATTATGTACTTGTGTTAATGCGTTGTAATGTGTAATTGTTTACATATAAAAACTAGTAACCTAGAATTGATTAAACCCAACTATATGAAATTCTTAATGACAGGGTGTTTCATGGAATTAAAATCTCATGTCCCCTCTGGTATTTTAATTCCTGGAATTTTAAGAAGAAAATAAAATAGTGATGAGTCAAAATTACCCCTTCCTTTTTTAACCTAAAATTAATGTCTAACAACAACAATGTACATTTTTAACTTTATACTACTTATTCCCTTTCAAATCCCATGTATACCAAACATTGGAATTGAAATTCCCAGTAATTCTTTCCTGTAAACCAAACACTGGAATTTAAATTCCCACTTTATTCCCAGTAATTCATCTCCCATGGAATTACAATTCCTTTCCCACATAATTCCCTCACTCCAATCAAACTCGCTGTTAATTCTTCAAGATGTTTGAATTATTGAGATTAATCAACTCTATTTGTTTTAGTTTCAATTTTAATTTTAATTTTAATTTTAATTTTTGCAATTTCTATGGTTTTTGAAAGATTTGTGTCTAGGTACTAATTTTAACAAACACTATCAATATAATAAATTATTACACTTGTTAAGATGATTAGCAATTTTTATAAATTGTTGGGTCAATACGTCAATATTCAATAATAATTTGTAGATCGAATCGAAGGTGTGAAATCATGGATTTGTTCATTGATTTCTGCCAAATCTTTGTATGGTAAATTTCTGTCAATGCAGCATTACATTAGAAATATTTTAAAGTGAATCTGAAGGCTAGTAGTACCACTGCCACCCCTTAAGATATTTACCATAATGGCATGCAGGTAGTGAATAAAAGTTCATATTTAGATCCAAATGACAGTAAATGAAAATCTCTCCTTGAAAGGAAATACAACTTACATACTATATTTGATCATGGAAAAATGCCTTAATTGTTAACCTACACAATCAATATAACTGTCACATTCTACTCTATATAAAGAACCAATGAAACCCTCCATTAATCTTTCATCGTAACCTTATATATCCCAACCCAAAGTGAAAGTGAGCATATCCCAAAGAGAGCATGGATGGTGAAAATGATTGGGATCTTGCTGCAGTGGTGAGAGGCTGCAGAAGAAACCTCAATGGCAATTCAAGTAGCCAAGTTGATGAACATTTCAATGGTGGTTTGCCTAGCCAAACCCATGGCTCAATCCCTTTTCTCCCTCAACAAACCCATGATCATGGTAGTGTTTTTCCTAACATGGTGCCTGAAAGGCGCCATTTCGGGCTAGAAGAGGTTATTGATAGGTTTACTAGTGGAAAGATGAGAGAACCAGTCCTAGATCCTCAGGGTACCATCACTCCCCCTACTGGTCTCGACAAGGCTGGTGGCTCGGGGGGTATCTGGAAGAACACCCCAGCCCCTCCTCAAAGTCCCAACCCTTCCCCTACTTTGGAACCTCAACAGCCTCTTTCGAGTCTCCAATCTGGTAGTCCCGAAAAAGATGGTGGCTTGGAGGATGAGATGCTTCCACACGAAGTGGAGGAAGTGAATGAGGTTGAAATGCCGGCTGAGAAGGTTCCCGTGCCAGTTGAGAAGGTTGAAGTGCCGGTTGAGAAGGTGGACGAATGGGATGGATGGGCTTGGAAGAAGTATGGGAAGAAGATGGTGAATGATTCACCACACTCAAAGAGCTATTACAGATGCAATCATGAGGGGAAGAACTGCCCGGCAAAGAAGCACATTCAGCTAAGCCACATGGATGAAAGCAAGTATATCATTACCTACAGAGGTAATCACAATCACCCTCCCCCCGTTCAGAACACTACAACCAAACCTAGGAAGAGGGGCAGGGCTCGGGCTCAGGCTCGGGCTCCTGCTCCTCCTGCCCCCAAAGGGGAATGCTCATCTTCTACTCCTAGTACTAATACAGCTACCTGAAAACCTAAGTGCACACAACACCGATACCATAACAATCTTATCATGTTCCTTATGTTGTTCTCTGAGAAGCACTGTTCTTTAAATGTATTCCCTTGAAATCAAGGGAATCTCTTTCTTTATGTTGTCATGAATAAATAAAAGCTTTGATATATGACTGGAAAATAGCATAGCAGAGGCATAATTTTATTTACATCATAATTCAAAGCACTCTCCTCATCAGGCAAACATAATTATGTTGCAAACATTAATTTCAAACAATTATGTTATGCTGTGTGTTTGCACAAGACCAAATACACAAAAGATCATAGATACAAAGAGGTAAAACATTGGGAATAACATATGAAAGAAATACCGGATCAGATATCAAACATTTTGGAGTCATTCTGTACAGATAGAAGATACAGAAGAATAATAGACACTTACATTGAAGTAAAAATCCGAGAAATCTTTGAAACGGGGCTACCAATTTTCCTTGACAATTTTTGACTTCTCGAGTATGAACTTCCCCTCCTTGTACTTTTGTGTATCTTCATATGCTCGTTCATACTTCCAACCTAACAACTCATGACAATCACCACAAAATACATCAGCAACTGTATGAAGACCAGTCATGAGATGTCTGTCCTCTTTGGCGCCCACAATAACATTCATCACATGAGAGAATAGAAAGGCTCGGCCATTCCTTCCCTGAAAAACAGAAAATTCATTTTGTTTCAAGAATACAAGAAATCAAAACCAGTCCAAACTGACAAGGATGTGATGCCTGGTGAATTCAATCCTTCAACCCGAAGATGATAGTTTTGTCTAGACTAACTACAACATAACAACAAAGTCTGAATTCTTTTCTTTTTGTCCATATTTTCTATTTCTTTTTGGTTTTCTTCAGCCTGGGAAATAATGACTATTACTCACTTTAATAACAAGGCCAACAGTGATTCAAGAAAATGAAATTCATCTTATAAAACCCACAAGAGAACTCAGCAATGTCTACGCAAATCAGAGCTTTGGACCATTATCCTCATTAATCAATATAGTTACTTCAGATGTAATACACTAGTCTTTCAGAGTAAAATCTTTCTGCATTACAGTTTGATCAGGTGAAGATAACAGGTGGATGAGCTTCCATTTCATAGAAATCACCATAGAGAAACTTCTAACATAACCTATTATGCAGACCTTACTACCAATTAGTCAAAAACCAAAGAAGTTCTGAAATTTTCACAACAAATTTGAGTAAGCAAAGCATGAACAATGACAAAAAACCCTTCACCTGAAAGGCCTTGGAGATTATGTCATCATGAACAGAAACATGATTTTTACACTTATAGCAACAGTACAAACGAGGCCCAACCATTTCATCCATTGGAAGAGAACTCCAAGACATGAACACCTCACTCACTACACAAGTCAAATGAATCAAATTTCAGTATAAATTACAAGAAACAAACATAAAGATTGAAACTTTGACAACAATAATAACAATACGGAGTAATGATCAAGCGACAATACCGATGAAAGCTCAATGGAGAAAGTGAAGATACCCAGAATCCTTTAGCTTGGAAGAAACTGGCGATGACCCAGAACACAGAAATGATGGGTGGATGGAGCTAGCTAGCGTGAAGATGACACCAAACCGGCGTTTGATGTTGGGTTTGAGTGTCCAATCAAGAAAGTTGGTGTAAAAAACAAAGAGTGTTGATTGAAAAGGACGTGGTTGTTTTTTAAGATAGTGAAACCAAAAAGAAAACGAAAACGAGAAATTAAGGTAGAGGAGTAAAGGAGAATAGTGGCGTAGGTGAGGAGAATCTGAGCTGTAAAAACACTAGAATTAGCAGAAGATTAGGAAAACACTTTATTCTTTGCTTGGAGTCAACCAAAAAAGATTGTTAATTTAGTAAATTTTATACTAATTTGTTGTTCAGTGTTGGTTTTGTTCTGAAACTAACTGCTCACTTTGCACGGATTCGCAATTGCCATTATTGAATGCTTCTTTACTTCTTCCACTTTCTGCCGACAGAAAGGCCTGGAGACGGACAGATAAAACTAACTCCGTTGGGTTTGAACCGTTCGCCCGGATCCTGTTTCTGGGCCTAGCCCATTTTAACGGACATTGTCCCGTTCAAATTTATTTCAAGTTATGTTTTCTAAAACAATAAGGAAACACGCAATCACACTATTAGATGGGGTATAGTAGATAAATCTTGTTTTGTGACTTTAACTAATAAATTATCATAAGGAAATAAACCTATCTAACTAATCTAGGTTTGTTCATAACAAATCAACTCAAACAAAAAAGGTCAATAGGTTCCTTAACTAAAGGAAGTAAATTATCATATCTAACTAGTTTAGGTTTGTCCATAGCTGTTCGGTTCAATGAATAAGGCCAATAGGTCACTCCCTTTAGGAGTAGAACTTGGAACTTCAATGGTTACTAAACCAACTTGACTCATTTGGTTGTGATTGCCTTTGAATTTTAATTATACAAGCTTTAGCTAGTCAATTGGCAATCCCACCTAGGATCAAACTTCAAATCTTATAATTATCAAATTAATTAATTACCTAAGAAACTCAACCCAGCCAACCATATCTATCAGTGTTAAATTGCCTAAGAAACTCAACCAAGCCAACCATATATATCAGTGTTATTAATGGACTTCATTTTTACCATCATTATAAAATTCTTGATTTAGACATTTTTTTTAGATTCATATGATAAAAATAATCCATTGGTTGACACATAAGGGAGTAAAAGGAACTTGGGAAGCAGGAAGCTAAGTATAAATAATTAAGCAAAGGGATAACGTGTACGCAAGAAAGCAGCACACTTGTAATTCCTGGAGTGTTCTGTTCAATCGAGTGGCAATCTGCACCTAATAATCGCTACATATATATGTTTTATATTACAATGTCAATATCTACGAAGCAACGTAACGTAACATGCCCACCTGTGTTTCTTCCCGGCCTTTGATGGATAAAACACAGCTTTCAGTCCATATATATATATATGGTTTTATTTTATTTTATATATGTATAATTCATTAATTCTTTAAATTTTAAAGAAAATACTCGTCAGAAAAGTAATTAAAATTTTGTCAGTATTTGATATGATGCTCTATATATATATACCTAGGTTTGTTGGATTTAAATATACACCTGATGGATGAATATATGTTTTATATAGACAGACAGCTTAACCACTCAAGCAATCATAGTTCAGTTCTGTTCTTTCCGTAACCGTACCGAGGATATAATAAGAAATATATATATATATATATATATATATATGTACGTGCATTGAATTGCATGCATATACTGATCGATGTATACAATATTATCATGAATGAAGGAGCTGAGATAGATCTTCCGATCCTAGGAATTTATGCAACAATCTTTTCTGCTTCAATTCTTCATAAAACTGCATGTCAGCTACGTACTGCACTTCGTCGTCTGGGCTTTCCTTCTCAATATGGCACATCATCGTTTTCTGTATCTCCACAATTTCTCATACATATATTATTTTGTGGGTAAGGATAAGGCGTTCTAAATGAACCGGAAGCATTCAATCTACGACTCTATTTGACAGAGCTTATTTATGAGCAGTGGCGGACTCAGAAAATTATATGAGTGGGGGCAAATTACTTTAGAAATGTAAATGAAAAAATATCAAAAACACTTATAATACGGTTCAAATACAAAATATATTATAAATTATAATACAATGTTTATGAGTTATGACAAACTAACAAGATAGTTAGGGGTGGAGCCAAAACTATACTTGGGTAGGGTTAAATTTTAAAACACTTTAAAATGCTATAAAAATAAAACATAATCGATTAGATAAAATAGTTTAAATAGAAAAGACAGTATATTCATAATTACTTTAATTTTAATTTTCTTTTAGTTAGATCAACTTTAAATTTTTCTAAATTAATTCGAATACAGTGGAGTATAATATAAACTTGTGGACTACATTAACTATATGATTTACAAAGAAAGTAGACTTAAAAAAAATATTTAATTTATTGAATGATTGAAAGGGTTAAAATAAAGAAAAGAAACTAAAAATACTATAAAATTAGAATGGCTATAAAAAAAATAAAAAAAAAAAACTAAAAATACAAAAAAGAAATACCAAAAATATCACTACTAGTGGAAATTGATCCCATAACCTACCCACAACAAACCTAAAGTTTCAACCAACTAAGCTACTAAAGCCTTTAGTAATTCATATATCTATATTATATAAAATGATTTAATTAGCTGCCCCCACTGTCCCATTGTAGGTCCGCCATTGTTTATGAGCTTATAGCTTATATTTTAATACACTAGAATAATTTGCCTATTCTTCAACATCCTTTACACTACACACGACAAAACTTTCCCAAACACCGACATTAACATATTCAACGCTGGGATAAATGGTACAGCTGCAGATTCGTTGGCTCGTCTTCTGTTCGACACACTTTTGTTATCACCAACTTGCCCTCAAATTAACCCCAACCTATACCATCATGGATTCATGGGTGTGTGTTTCTGTACACACACACCTATGTGTATAATAATCAATTATTTAATTATTTGCTGACTTAGAGTGTGTTTGGTTCGCACATAGGAATCGGAATCGGAATGGGAATGAGTATCAAATACTTGGTAATGATAATGAGTTTTGGTGAAAATATTTAACATGTTTGGTAGTAGGGTGGAATGAGAATGGTTACTAATAGTAGTGCTTGAGAATGAATAAGGGAATGAAACCCTTATTGTATTTGGGTATGAGTTTTTCAATTGATGGAGTATTCGAAACCCATAGTAGTGTTCTAAAATCCTATCAACCAAACAACAACAATCACTTTCATACCCATTCCTATAGGCAAAACCCACCAACCATACACACCCTAAGTTTTCTTGATTCGGACTGCAAATTAGAAAGAAAAAAAAAAAAAAAAATCAATCAGGAAATGCAAGACCTATGAATGTACAGAGACCACAAGCCTACAAATCACCCAAAAAAAATAATAGAGGCCAAAGAAGTTAATCAAGCCAAGTCATTAATATTAAGTCAACACTTTATCGATACCACATGCTCTCACTCTGAATAAGTTTCACTATAGCCTCTTTTCAATTCCTTGTGAACCTTATCAAACATCAAAATGATCAAATAACCCTCTTTCAAGTAACTCTTTCAGAATCTCTTATGAAATTTAGGTGAGTTCATAGCAATGACCAATAAGTATGATTACACATTATAACAACTTTAGACTTAACAAGACTAATCTTACCAATGACAAAATCAGCCTAATACGCAATAAAAATAACAATAAAAGGAAGAAAAACCTTATTTTCTCAATGTGAAACAATGACGCAAAAACCCTTTCAACTTCCAACAAATCACATTTGCTTTACAAAGAGGAATATTACACATCCCATATGTTCTAATCTAGCGATCTCGTTAAGTTAAAAAGCAAAATAATAATAACAATAAGTCAATAATAATAATCATATTCTTCGTTGTCCTTAAGAATAACTGCTATTACAGAAATTCACAAGATGATATATCAGGGCATCTATTTTTCAACTGTCAAGATATTATAAAGAATAAAAACTAAAAAGTTTGCTACTTAATACATCATTTATATTATATAGTTGAAAACATAGGCAAAAAAAAAAAAACACAATATACTACTGCGTATAAAAGTAGTGTCTCTATTAGACAGTAGATGTGAGGCCGGATTAGGGAACGAAAAAGAATTACACAAGCAACAATCCAAGTATTAATAGAGCAACAGCCAAATGAATGAACAAAAGCCCCCACATGTTATGCTGTGTGTGAACAATTGTAGATTTGTAACAGCAGCAGAGCAGCGCCTTTCTGCGTGCTTCAATGAATCAGGGCAAGTTCTCCTTTGAATCAGGAGAGTGACTATTGGGCGATGATTCCTTCAACTCAACTATGGCCTAAGAATTTTTACCTACCTCATTCTTGTATCAAGGAGCATTGAGTGGATCAGCCTCTGTATCCCTTTCCTTCAAGGCCGTCCAGTTTTCTGCCTCTGACATTAGGCACAATAAACATTGAGAAACTACAGTCACAGTGGAATATGTATCCTAAAACCTTATAGTATCCAACATAACATAACCACTTACTTGGCTTTTCTGCAATCACTGAGAGACGCCTTTGCAAGATGGCTGCCACAAATAGGAAGATTGAACACATGCCGAACATAACACTGATGGGGAATGCAGCGACCTTCATTTTGACATTTTAAGAAAAAAACATTGGTCAGCACTAATGTATGGCAAGCACATTCAGTGCTTTCAGAATAGAAATTCATAACAGAATATGGGAGGTTGTAAATGTAATCCATGATGTTAGAAGTGCCTTCAAATGAAAGCAGAACAACCAGCAAATCCAAAAGCTATGAAAATAAGAGATTTTGTGATACATACATTGTACAGCACGATGCAAACAAAGATGTTGAGAGGAATCCTGAAGAAGTTCATTATGGTACTTCTTGCCTCTTCAGGAATATATTGGGATCTCATCTTCATTATGGATGGCCAGAAGATCCCCACACAAGCCTCAAATGTACAGAAGCCAAGAAGCAATATACAGCCAGCAAATGTAATGCCTCCTCCTTTCACATTTGAAGGAGCTATGAAGAACTGTTTCAAATATAGTAGTTAGGTGATATAAATAGTAGGAGGCAACAAACAACTACATTGTCTCAAAACTTACACCCGTCACAATTGGTAGCAGGAGAGCTGCAGAGGAGATAACAAATACAACTTGCATGTAGCTCTCAACCTTGAGTGAGTTACGGGTCATAAGGCGAGATGCAAATGAGCTTCCCAACATTGACGCCAACATAAAAGTTGCAAAGATAAAACCATGAGGAATATCTTCATCATTTGGACTAAGAGCAGGAGTCCAGAGAAACACAAAGGTGTACATTGAACCCTCAAACAGGGACTGTATGGCACCCAGTAATGCAATCTTTTCATCTGATCCATATAAAGTATAAAACATCTGAGCCCCAGGCTAATAACCAAACAATAAAAGAAATAAAATGCAGAATCATGCCAAAATATATGCAATAAAAGAGGGTAAATGGTAAAAACATGGATGTGGGTTTAGACCAATCAGTATCCATAAACCTACCTGAAGCAATGGCTACAGCAGCAGACTTGAACTGAGTCAATAAATCTTTGTTATCTGATGGATCTCCATAGTTCTCAGTCCATGATGAGAATATGATGGCCATTCCAATGGCAAGAAAACAAGAAGCAGCATCAAAGGGTGACACAGGCCCAAGATTCAGTGTATCAACCAGAAAATTTCCGAACAAGCCAGCCAGAATGGCAACAAGACCATTTCCCAGAAATATTGCCTTGGAGAATGTAATTGAAAGCCACTGCTGATCAAAACCTCTCTGTACACAGTAAATACCAAAAGGTTACAACCAGTAACCGGCAAATAAGCTTGCATAGTAGTATAGCACTATACTTCATATCAAATTCTGGTTGCAGTTTCAAATTAACAAAGAATAGATAATAATAGAAGTTATTAGTATCATAAACCTATTTAAATGCTACAATGAAAGAAGGTAAATTAAAAGGGCAGGCATGATAAGCTTGCATAGCAGAATACTTCATATTGAATTCTGGTTCCAGTTTCAAATTAACAGAGAATAGATAATAATAGAAGTTATTAGTACATTACTATGATAAACCTGTTTAAATGCTACAACAAAAAAAGGTAAACTAAAAGGGCAGGAGTATGTCAAAAGGACAAACAGAAAAGAGTAATGGCAGTCTGGCACAGTTCCACATTAGATGACACATTTTTCACTGAAACCATCAAAAAGGGCAAGTGAATATAAAAATAATTATTTAAAAAAAAAAACAGTTTTTTACACATTTCAAGAATTTCTAAGATTTCAGTCTTATTAAGTAACCTAAATGCATTCAAGATGATAAACAAAAATGAATAAAATAAAATAAAAAACTGTGAACTACACAATGATAAAAGAGTCCATAAAGGAGCCATTAAGATATTTGCCAATTACATGACTTAATGCAAACCTTTAAAAAAAAAAAAAAAAATCTACTTCAAAGTAGTTATGCAATTGTAACTAGAAATCAGATGAGGTCTACATAAGACACATTAGAATCAATTCATAATACAATTAATGTATAAATATATAGCATCAAAGCAAGTTATTTTCATTTCAGGGGCTATATTATATCCAAAGACCCTTACCTTAAAATGCTCTGCTACCAACCAAGACTCAAATGATGAGAAGAGGAGAGATGTGGCAATACCACCCAAGATACGCCCCAACATCAAGACTTTGTATTGAGGGGAATGTTTGGTGATGCAGCTGAGTATGTAAGTAATACAGTAAGTCACACAAGCTCTCTTTCGACCCCTGAAAAGTATGGAACAAGCATGTAATCAGAATTTCATCATGTCAAAATGAGAATGGATTTATATATATACTGTATATTGAAGGAGTAGCTCACTGTTTGTCAGCCAGAGATCCAACTATTGTGCCAAACAACATGGACGACCCAAACCCAGCAATAAAGAGTTGCCCAATCTCTCCCTTTCCATAGCCGTACGTAGTGTAAAGGTAGTAAACATACGGACCCTGTAACCAATCACCAGCTGTTGCCACAAAATGACTAAGAATTAGACAAATGAAGGCTATGATTCATTTAATAACCACTCTCAATAAATGAAGCACAAGTCAAAATAATAATGGCAGTACCCGAGATCCAATAGAACACAGCTGAACATGTGATATGCGAAGCTTTAGAGAAGCTAAAATTGAGACAAATCCTTAAGTGAAACAATCATCATACTTTAACCCATAACACACTCTGACACTCCCGAGCTCAATAACGACAACAAAGAACTGACACACTAACCCTCACTCTCATTTCCTAAATTAGAGCTGCTAGCACAAATTGAGTAAAGTTGGAGCAAGTTTCACCAAACTTCATCACATCGCAACAAGCATAGATCAGATCACGCACATATAAAGACGAATTTCAGAAGAAATGTAGATTTCTAAGCATGCATAGTGATCCAAACAGCCAGATCTAAGGGCGCGGTGATCCAAAGAGCCAGATCTAAGAGTATAATGTCGACAATTAACGAAAAGCAAGTGATGCATACCCATCATTAGCGAGTAAACGATGAGGTAATTGTTCTTGAAAGCATTGAAAGTCGGAGATGTTGAGATGCGATCTTTGCTGGTCTTACTGAGCTCGATAGCTGCCACCACCGCCGCCAAGGCTCCGAACACCAAGTAGTAGAACACCTCCATTTTCGTCTCCGCGAGCTCCACTCAGTCTACTATCTGTGGTTGATGCAGAGTATCCAGAAATGCGATCTCATACTGGACCGAATTTGGAGTATATATATACGGGTATAATGGGACGCGGTTTAGATGTTGCGTTCACAACAGTGAGTTCTGTTATGATTTAATCCTGGCCCTTGGTTTGCAAGATGGACACGTGGCGTACGGGATCTGACTGATGTCTGTCGGTGGAACTACACTCGCGCCCACCGTGTCACTACTCTCCTGTGCGCCAGTGTGAACTTAAGAATGTGGATTATATTATTAAATAATTTATATTCAGGACATAAATAATATATTTTAATATATTACAAATTAAAAATATATGTTATATTTATAAAAGGTACATTATTTTATATAATATATATTCAATATATGAATAATATATTTTTTAATTTATTAAAAATATACTCCGCATTTATTCACACAACACTATATGAATTATGGTCCACACAATAATTTGTCGAAGTCAGAACCGACGGCATATGGGCCATTGGGCCCCATCGTTTCTCATCCCCGGTGGTGTCGGCCCATTCAATTTGCCGATGCTTTCATTTTGTTTCGCATTCGGAGCTTCTTTTGTTTATGACTTTATGTTATGGCTTTTATTTTATTTATTTAAGCTGAAAATATCTTTGCGCTTGTTATGGCGCGTTTAGTTCATATAATATTAGTTTTTTAAAAAATCATTTTGACACGTAAATACTTGTAATAAATGAAAATAATATCAAATGATGATGCATTGTATGTGCTTGTGTCGGGTTATTAATGTATGAATTTGGTAATATAAACTATATGTATAAATAAAAAATATTTGAGAAAAATACATAACATGACTGGAATTTGAACTTGTACTTTGTGGCTACTACATCAAATGTCACTATAATCGCTTTTTTCGAAACTGAAACCCACCACCTTCCACATAATCCGCCCAAGTGTTTATTTTATGAAAATAAAAATTTACAAGTATTATCTGAAATTTCGAGAGTGTGTATTAAGTAAACTTTATTATTAAAATTGTGGTATAAAGATGAGACTTCGAGAGTGTGCATTAAGTAAATTAATATTATTCAAATTGTACTATAAAGATTATGTGCAACCAACTAAGATAATTTACTCTTAATTAATTTGTACGTGACATGCATATTCAAGAGTGCCTTGCACGCATGGTATTGACTAAAAAGCTAGGTATGCTTTAGAGTTTAGACTAGGATTTTTTATTTGATTTTTTATTTATTCATTTATTTTTAATGATTTTTTGGTGTCTTAAAATCAACTATAGCACATGGGATGTTAATTTAATTAATTCAAAATTTATAGTTGTCTATTCATTGTTCCGCTAAATTGTTTATTTTTATATGATACATAAAAATATTATTATATAACATGAAATTCCTATTATTACTATATTAATATTAATATTGAAATATTTGAATCTTAATTTACAAATAAAATGGAGTTTATGATCCAAAATATGATGTTTCGAGTAAAGGGGTTTGAGTCGGTTAAATATGAAACTGAGATTTAAAATTAAGGTGGATGGAACAAGATTGAGATTGCATCAATTTAGTGTTACTTGAGGGGTAACCCGAACTGATACTGATAGTGTTAATATACGTGGATCTAAGAATACTCTAAATAACCTAGCACGAGGGCCGACTGACTGCGGTCGGGCAGCTCTGAACCAGGTATCTTTTTCCTTCCAAAAGTCCTCTTCATCTGGGTCCTAGCTTGATCAGTATTTATAGCATTCAACATTGTCGGCATGTAATACACGCGTCATCTACATGTCACCACATAGGGCTATATCCTTTTAGTCACCCCTACCATTGGCACGTGTCTCCTTCCTAACACCAATGCTAAGGTAAAGGGATCGGGAAAATGATGGGTCGGGGAAAGCAGTCGAGAAGAAAACGGCGATCGATGCGACTGTAACTAAGAGCAAGCGGTCGTAACAACTTCCCGATCAAGAAAAGCACACATGGTGACATTGGTCGGGATTTATCCTACCAGATACAGTAAATACGGGTATACGTAGAGTACCGAAATTCGGGATTCTCAACAGTGGGTCGGGAAGCTCCGATTCAATTAAATGTCCAAAAGTCCCCTCCGAGCTGTAATAAATGTCCTATTTATAGGTGGAGTAGGAAACAGGCTACGGCGACCCGACATGGCCAGCACGTGGCAAGCATGCATCGGCCGCCATCGAGGTCGTGTATTATCTCGCCACGCGGCGGTGCGTTCCTGGCAGACCAAGGAACACGAGGTCGGACACATACCGTGCGGTGCCCAAGCGGTCGACGGTCGGGTGCGAGCCGCCCTCGGCAAAAGGCGATCGGGTGGTCGGACAGTAGTGGCAGTCGGGAAGCCGCTCGGACAACGAACCCGGGGCGGTCTTTGCGGTCCAGTCGGTCGGGACGTGGCTACCGACCGAAATCGGATGGACAACCACGAGTATCGAGGGTATATCCTTGTCACCAACCAAACTGGTCTGATTATTAACTTAATTGGTAATCATATTTTTTTGGGTGCATTTGCCCCAGTTCCAAGCAGTATTATCTGGATCCTCCTGCATCAGCTAAAAGGAACTCCAACAACTCATCTGGGGATCCTCCAAGCGTGTACTATCTGAGTCGCTCTAATTTGGTAAGCATAATGTTTCAAATTTGTTGACTGGATCATGAGAGTGATATATTAGTCTTCTTGATTTGAAATGATCGCTTCATAATGATCACAAGGCATGCTCACTTTGTGCACATTGTAAGATAATGGTGGGGTTATGGAGGGAAGAAAAAGGACAGTGGTTATTACAAAAATGGTTATTGTGGTTTGTCGCATTATCCCCCAGCTAATACAATCGTAGGAAGTGTAGAAGAACTGCAAGGTGGATACGATGAAGTTGCAAGATATGTTGATCTGAAGAACAACATGCAGCGTCGTCGTGTGTTTCTCTCTCTCTCTCTCTCTCTCTCTGTCGTCGATCTGTCCCTCACTGCATTTCCAGCTGTGAAATCTCAAAGCGACGCAACTCACACTCCCAGACTCTATCTCCGCCTTCCTTGTACCCTCATATTGATGCTCATCGGTCGCGTATACTCAACTAGATCCCCCCTTTTCCGTCATATATAGAGACACACAGGTTCATATATGGCGATTTGTGTCCATCTCCATCTCCGATTCAGTCAAGAAATTGCAGATCGAAATAAGAATAGCAGAATGGCGCCCATCATCATCATCTCCATCTGCTTCTTCCTTCTCCTCACCTCGTCCTTTACCACCGCTTGCGATCGTTGCGTCCACCAATCCAAACTCTCTTCTGTTCTCCAGTCTGCAGGCGCTTGCGGCTATGGCTCCATGGCTGTAACTTTCAACGGCGGCCATATTGCTGCCGCCGGTGTCAAAATTTACAAAGACGGAGCCCGTTGCGGTGCTTGTTATCAGGTTAATTAATTAATTTCTCTCTAACCTCGTCTCTGCCCGCATCATATCGCCGCCGGTTTAAAAGCTTACAAATTAAACAATAATGATCTCTGATCCGGTTATATATGTATGATTACTATATTCTGCAGATACGATGCAAGAACCCAAATTTTTGTACCAACCATGGGACCATCGTCATGGTAACTGATCTTGTCACCAGTAATAATGAAACAGATTTTGTGGTCAGCAGTGGAACTTTACGCGCTATGGCTAACATGGGCAATGATAAAAAAAACATCATTGAACTTGTAAACAATAATCTTGATGTCGAATATAAAAGGTCGGTTTCATTTTTATTTCTTTTATTTTTGGGTAATTAGGGTAAAAATAGTCATTATAAAGGTATACATACTGATTGTTTAGTGTATGACGTCCTTGAACCTTAATCTGCAAAAAAGAAAAAGAAATAAATCATATTGTTCATAATTAACCAGTTAGAAATACTTATAATTTTATGATTATATATCAAGTAGACAGCCACTGACGGATTTGACTAGAGTTGCTTATTAATTCCATTTTTCGATTTTGTGCAGGGTGGCATGTGAGCATGGAACTAATAACTTGGCAATCCGGGTTGAAGAGTCAAGCCAAAAACCAAGTCATCTAGCAGTCACGTTCTTGAACCAAGGTGGCCAAACCGAAATCGTTGCCGTCGATGTCGCTCCGGTAAACCAATATAATGTTTACATTTCTGGTATTCCGGCCGGCGTGATAGTATGTAGCAAGTAGACTAAATTTGTTTGATTGTGTAGGTTGGGTTTCCCAATTGGAGTTTTATGAGGCGGAGTAACCGGGGAGGAGCTATTTGGGAGACAAGCGCAGCTCCAAGCGGCCCGCTGCAGTTCCGGTTGGTGGTCACGGCAGGGTTTGACGGCAAATGGTATTGGGCAAGTAACGCTTTGCCGGCGGATTGGGAAACTGGTATCATATATGATTCGGGAATACAAATCACCGACATTGCCCAGGAAACCGATTGCTTTCCCTGTGATGATGGCACCTGGTGACACATTATTGCACCTTTTAACTTATTGTAACATAATTGTACTAATTAAATTATAAATCAATTGTACCCGAGTATTTTACAAGAAATATAACATGCAATATTGTCATCATAATTGTAAAGAATTGTCCTTCTCTGATGAATCAAAGGACTCTTTTTTTGAGCTCTTTATTCTCAGGAGTCCATACAGTTTTCGAATCTCTTTCAAATTTTCCTTGCAAAAGATGCCCGCCTCCTCCACGGTTCGAACCGGTTCACTGTCACTCAACCGTCTTGCATTTCTGGTGGCGGCGGCTCTCGCCTCAGCGTGGGTCTGCAAGGCTGATATAACAGTTTTCAGTGCGCGGCTCGGGGAGGTCCGGTTCGATATCATGATTTCAGAAATCTCGCCCGGACTCAAACTCGCTCCGGTTTGGAAAACTTCTTCTACGTGAGGGAAAAGCTTGTGATCTTTTAACCCCAAATGGCTGCTGGCTAGGGTTTTAAATGCAGTGAAATCGCATAGCGGGAAGTGTATGTGGAAATCTACTCTTCCCGGCCGGATAACCGTCGGATCAATTTCATCCTTGCCGGTCATCGTGAAAACCATTACACGTTCCTCGCCGCAGCAGGAGAATATCCCGTCGATGAAGTTGAGGATACCGGAAAATGTTACCGCCGTTGATTTTTCCAGCAAACAACGGTCCAGATCTTCGATCACGATCAGTGACTTGGTCGTGGTTTGCAACAGCAGCATCTTCAGATCAGAATCATCGGAGACTTTAGCTAGATCGATATCGTAAACGTCATAGCCGAGAAACTTCCCCATTGCCGCGACGAATGTCGATTTTCCGGTGCCGGAGGGACCGTAAAGCAGGTAACTCCGTTTCCAGACCCGGCCTAGCCGGTGATAATACTGTTTCGACTTGAGAAACCCTTCCAAATCGGACTTCACCCTGTTCTTCAGATCCGAATCCATCACCACCGTATCAATCGTCGCCGGATGCGTGAACGGCACTGACATCCACCTTCCATTCCTCTCCGGCTCCCTCCCCGCGTTCACGTACAGTCTTAAATCCTTCCTCGTCTGCTCAATTTCATAAAACACAGAGTTGATATGCTGAAGGTAAGGACGGAGAATCCGACGCTTATCATCCCTCCGAATCTTCAAAACCAGAGATTTCAAGCCGGTTTTCTCATTTTCGTCGTTGATCCAGCAGACTCTGGAGCTGAGAAATTTGTCAACCACAATCTGGTTGGAATCGAGAACAATGCTGATATCATTGGGCTTGCCGCCGGAGAAAAGGGCGGTGAAATCGGAATCTTCAACGCCCGGCAAGGAATTCAGATAAGTTGAGACAACCCTGTACAGTTGATTCACCTGCATGTTTTGGTTGAACTGCGGTACCCTATAGAATTGATACAAGTAGCATTTCTCCTCCAGAACACGACCCCATTTCTTAACAGAAGAATTTGATACAAAACGTAAAATGAAACACGAAACAATGATTAAGAAAATGAGCAAAAACATTGTACAAGGCACTAAGGCAGCAGGCTAAACGAAGAAGAAAAGGCGAAATCTGTGGATTTAGGGTGTTGAAAAGAATTGAAGAATCATTATCATTATTATAGTAAAAATGGAAGGATGATGATTTATTGAATTGGATTAGAATGCGACTATGCGAGTTTTAAATGCATTGGGAGACGGTTAGCGCCGGCACGGCATTGAAACGATTTACTTTGGGATTAGGCTGAAGTAGACTTAGAAATAATGCACACTCCATTAATAATTTAATATGATAAGAACATTTTACTCTATTCATCTTTCAAAATCTTTTTTTTTTTTTTTATGAAGAGGAAAATCATAGCTATTACCTGATGGTGTGCCCTGTCCGATGTGTAACTTCAATTGGTAAAGAATGATAAGAAGCTAAATCAGTTTAGACTTTAGATTATACATAGCTGATCAATTCAAATAAAAAAAGGTTAATACACTACTTTCACAAACCTGTAACTTTGTAAATACTGAGTAATAGTTTAGCCAATTTCTTATCCAAGGACGGAGAGGTTGGGCGATAAGGTCAACAAATCTATGAATTAGTTGCAATTTTATACGGAGTATTGCTTTGTGGCATTAAAAGGTTAGCTGAAATGGTACTTGTGGACTTGTGCTGTGTATAAAGAAATGAATTGTGCAATTCGATACAACCCCTTCAATGCATGATAAGAAGCACCCAAAGTCGCTCGCACGGGCTTAGACCAAGGTTCAAGCCTCAGTAACACTGTAACGGTAGTGCATAAATTATGCTAGAAGTGAGTAAATTTTTTATGGGCATTAGCATTTGATCATATCTGCTAAATCATTAAAACACCGTGATTTATGGTGTGGAGGACTTTTGGAGTTGGGGATTCAACCTATTGAGAGAAGAAGAACCAAAAGCCATTATGGGCAATTAATGAACAATCAACCACCTCTGTGTTGCAAGCAGAAAAGGCTGAAAATGAGCCATTTGGTTGTAATTATCGCTTTCACACTTAATTCACTTCCCATGTCAATAAATCATTATAAAATGCATGGTCAAAAGTTGTGTCGGGCAGACAACAAATTAAAACCTCATTTAATTACTCGGTGCAAATGTTTAATTTAGGTTGATGTTGATGTATACTTGATTTGCTTATCTGTCAAAATTTGTCGATGATGACAAAGTTTAAAACACTATCAAGAAAAGTACTGATTTTTCCGTTTCAACTTCAGTCCTGTGATATTTTCCAAGTGCAAAAGAGATGGCCTAACACACATCAATTGGTAGTTGAATAATAAGAGAATATCTTCTCATTTTTAAATTTCTAATGATGGATTTGTAAAGAGAATCTCTTCCAAAAGTCAAATCCTCATACTTCATAGAGTTCAGTCATAATATATTTTTCAAAAAACTACACAACCTTAGCAAGGTCAACTAAGAAGGCAAGAATAATGATCACGGATCAAGCAACTTTGAACGTGGGTGACTAAAGAAGTTTGCTGTTTAAACTAAAATCCCAGGACACCCCCTTTAGCTAATAGCAATACAAAATTTCACAACATTAATAACGCGTCTGTTGTATGGTGAATGCAATGTGGCGGGGTTTAAGAGTCGTTAGAATCAGACTGCAGGTTGATAATCTGTGACACGACGAGCTTTGAGAGCTCGCTGAGTGCAGCTTGAACCTGATAATCGTCTTGGTCCCTCTGCCGTGACCATCCAGATGTTTGTGAACTCAATCTGCTGTATTCGTTTGCAGCTACTTTTGTGTTTTTTGACGTTGATACAACTCTCTCCAAATCGCTTTGTGATAATGGCCTCGGCTCCTGTAAACGTGAGGAAGAAACTATCAATCCTACCATCCCTCTTCTACTTCAAATGTTCTACTAGAATATTACTACGCGCCCAGATCAAGATTTACTATAGGAATAATGAGAACACAGGAAATTGCAAGCAGAAGAGAAACAAGAATTACCCAAATAGACAATGTCATGTCAAGGCAAGAATACATTCAATATTAGAAAAAGGGACTGAAAGTACTTACTGAACATGGGCGTCCACTTCTCTCATCATCGAGAAGATCCCTGATGGGAAAATATGCAGCTTTCTTGCAGAGATCAAGAAGATCTGAACCAGTGTATCCATCGCATAAACCAGCTATATAGTCGTAGTCGATGCTTTCCTCAACCTTCTCACCCCTGAGGATCACCTTAAGTATCTCTACTCTCTCCCGGCGCTCGGGGATCCCAATCTCAAAGGCCTGGGGGAGACGCCGAAGAATTGCTTCATCAAGCTCTGATGGACGGTTAGTTGCAGCTAGTACCATCACTCGTGCATTCTCTGTGGAAGGAATATCGAAACGTCAGTGACAGACAGACCGCCACAAAACACTCCTAGACACATCATCTAAACAGACTTTTATCACCACTTAAGTGGTAAATCCAGCCTAAATACATTAAAATCATGTGACAAACATTTCTCCAATTGACCAAACTGGAGCTATATTGAAAAAGATGCTTTAAAAAAAAAAAAAAAAACAAACAAACAAAAGCCTTGAACATCAGAGCCACTTGGAAAAGAGGCTTTCTACCTCTTGTCTACTTCAAAATCCTTTTTTTCCTTTTTTTAAATGTTCAGCCTAACTTATGCTTTTTGAAGTCAATAATCTCTAAAAGAAGATAGAACAAACAAGCACATAATTGAAACAACACAAAATACCTAATATCTAGTTCAGGAAGGAAGAACTTACGATCAGTGGTGAAACCATCCCACAAAGCCATGAATTCAGTCTTCATATTAGTTAATGCTTCATGGTCAGTAGACTTCCGTTGACCCAAAAAACTATCCACCTCATCAATAAATATAATCGCTGGCTGGAGTTTATATGCCAGGCTAAATACAGCAGCCACTACGAAGTGGAACCAAGCAAGAGTATATCAATTTTTTAAAAAATAAGGTTGGAAGACATGAAACACCACATACTGAAATTAATTAACTAGCAAGCAAAATTTAAATAGTACATGCTTATAAACCATTACCAAAATTTCCAAAATTGCATAGAGAAATAAGACTGACAGATGGCGTAATGTTGAAAAGAAAGAAAAAGAAAAGGGCAAAGGATAGAAAGGCCTTTAGGTGTCCCATCCCTATACAAAAGGTGAGCAAGAGATTTTGCTGACAAAATGGAAGTTTAACATGAGAAAGGGAAACGATAAAACATATGGATAACAAGGAGTGATAGGGCAAGTGAAAGTAAAACTAGCTTTAAAAAGAGCCCTCCAGTCCCTTGATAATTCTGGAAGAAACAGGCTTATAAGAAGAATGAGGGAGAAAATAAGCGCGGAAGCATCCATAAATGACGCCTAACTCACCTAGTTTTTGAGCATCACCAAACCACTTGCTCATAAGATTGGAAATCTTTACATTGATGAAAACAGCCCTTGATTCTTTTGCAATTGCTTTGGCAAGCATAGTCTTGCCAGTGCCAGGTGGTCCATATAGCAATACACCCTTTTGAGGACCAAGAAGTTTTCCATGAGAAAATAGCTCTGGTCTTTGTAGAGGAAGAATCACCAATTCATACAATGCTTGTTTTATAGCTTCCAGTCCACCAATAGAATTGAACTCCACATCAATATGATCAGGATTAATTACATCACATGCAATTACATCCTGTTGACCCACAAAAAGAAGAGGAAATTTTACAAAAATTTAGGAGCAATATGAAATGAATAGCAATTTGCATACAAATGGTAGGGCTCAGCATGCAATATTCCGGCACTATATTCTAGCTGCTAGGAATACAGTCTATTGGTGCACAAAAAGATTTTACGCAATTCAGCAGAGCAGCTGAATGAAGGACGGCCAGAGGATATAGAAATTAGGAAGTATAGCACCCAGTCAACCCTAAGTTAATCACAATGTAGCTTCTAGACCACCACTCCACCTAAATTCATAGCATGCTAGCTTAAGTTTGTCATATTCACCATAAAACTTATTTAGAGCAAAATGAACAACAAGGTTTCCATCACTTCAAAAACAGTCACTGTATTCTAACACACATACAAACACAGCCACTTACTGACAGTCTTAGCAGATTCAAGTGTGAGATAACAGAAGTTCATAGAAATATATTGGCAGATAACAAAAGTTCATAAAAAAAAAATTACTTTGGAGTAAAAATTGGATTGCTCAAATTACATTTAAATAGCATGAATGGAGGATTTTTATAGCATAAATAAAAATGGTATTGAGTATGAAGCACGATAAATGGACCTCGTAGGTATTGGTCTGAATAAGCGGACGGCCAAGACGCTTGGCGATTTCCTTCTTGTTCTCGAGGGCTTTCTTGGAGGCTTCACGGTTCGGGTCGAGATGTCGGAGCCCCACAAACAACACCAAGCAGCTAATAGCGGCGCTGGCGGCGTACAACACCAATTCCTGCAAGATCTTCGTCTCCGACGAACCCCCACCCTTCATCGCAACGATAAATCACAACCCAAATAATACTCCCTAATTTTATTTCACTCTCAAATATGGCCGCCTGGGTTGAAGACGAGCGAGATGGACGCCAATTTACTAAAATACCCTTTCTTGCTGTTCAGGTTTACCCGACCCGGTTACACTTTTTTTTTTTTTATTTATTTAATATTGTATACCCTTTTTTTATCAGTAACTACCATCTATAGTATTTGCTCAAATGATTAGACACACCAACATCTTTTATTGGGAAAAGACTTGACCCTGTGACATACCGTTTGTAATAATAATAGTAATATCATCAAACCATATACTTAACACCTCGTAAATAAATTACCAATTTAATTTTTAGATTGAAAGATCGACTCTTATGTATGTATATCACGATAAGGAGTTTTAGACTATGGCCCTGTTTGGTAAAATGGTTGTTAACTGATTGTGTTAGTTAGAGGGTATAAATAGTTGATAGCATTAGCTGATTCTAGAAAAGTGTTTGACAATTAGCTGTTAGGTATAATTTCTTTTCTCAAAAAGCTAATTGAAAAAGTTGTTTGGAGTAACTTTTTGAATTTTAGTCTTTTGGAATTGTAAAAAACTAATTAACTAAACATTTATATTAATATTTTAACTAAATCAAACAATTAATAGTGATCAAATAAGCTAAAATTGACCTATAAGCCAATTTTTAACCAAATAGGACTTATAACTAAATTTAGTATCAATATCACAATAGTAAAAGTATAGAATGTCATATAGTTATATTAATTGACAACATAAATTAAAAGTGGAGGTTAGTGAAACTCTACGGAGTAAACTATAAACTCTATGAAGAATACAAGTGTACATATGTTGAATGCCAACCCATCAGCCAAGAGATACAAGTAATGAAGTGCAATCGTTATGCGTTGGACCCGTGTCCAGTATGTTTGATGGACACGGGTAACAGTGCCTATCTTCTTCTTTCTTTCTTCTTTTTTTTTTTTTTTTTTTTTTTTTTTTTTTTTTTTTAAATTTCAGACTGCTTCGTTATATGAGTATATGTTCATAATTTTATTACTATATGTTAATAACTGTACATTCATAACTCCATAATTGTACATTCATAATTTTCGAAGCTCTATGTTCATAATTTTAGAGCTCTATGTTCATAATTTTATCACTATATGTTCATAATTGTAAGTTCATAATGTTAGAGCTCTTTGTTCATAATTCGATCAATAACTGTACATTCATAATTCCATACTGTAGATTCATAATCTCATAACTGTAGATTCATAACTCCACAACTGTACATTCATAACTCCATAACTGTACATTCATAATCTTCGAAGCTCTATATTCACAATTTTAAAGCTCCATGGTCATAATTTTATCACTATATATGTTCATAATTGTAAGTTCATAATGTTAGGGCTCCGTGTTCATAATTTCGTAATTGCATAATTGTATATTCATAACGGCATAACTGTACATTCATAACGGCATAACTGTACATTCATAATCCAAAAAAAATAACGCCGTTAACGGCAAAACGCGCGCAATTTTTTTTTTTTAAACTAAATGACGCGTTTTTTTTTTAAAAAACAACGTCGTTTTGGGCCCGTGTCCACAATTCAATGTGGACACGGGTCCAGAGCATAATTTGCCAATGAAGTGAGTACAAGATTATCATTCCCCAGTAACAGGCCCAAACCAACAACTCATCGCAGCCCACGACCAGGGGTGTAACAATTACAACAATCGAAGTTCACATAGCTTTGAATACATTATTGACATTTCATCTTCACAATCCAAATAAGACTAGGCTTGGGATAGTGATACCATTTCAAACTACAAATGTTTTTAATATTTTTTTAATCATTTTAATATTCAACTCAATATTGTTTTTCTAAACACAAACAAATTTATTAATATAATATAGTTTGAATTTGCGGAGAGTTTGTGGGCAGAAATTGAGAGGTTAAAAATGATTCACAATTTTCTTATCCGTTATTATGTTACATTTGATACTTACCACTGCTCTAAGCAATTCCAAACTCGATCAGCTTTCTCAAACAAATTTCAATCTTATATATACTTCATTTGCGAGCTGAGAGCGGTGACAATATAATTGAGCTAATACACGTGCCAGAAGCAAACATGATAATACGATATATATACACACATCCAAAATTTGTGCTTCTACGTGTTGAGACCACAATACATAAATAATTGATGATATTTAATACTAACTTACCAAGCATGCACTGCACTGCACGTACTTGCAATAATATCTTTCACAGTTAGTGATTAAATGTGAATTTTTATTTTAATGTTTTTATTTCTACAGTCAAGAAGTTAGGTGTGTTTGGTTCATGTTATATCAAATAACTAAGGTTATATTTGTTTGAGATTATTAAGATTTACATGTTTGATTCAAGTTATACAATTTTCTCCATGAATGTAATATAATCTACCTGGACTCTACATAAGGCTTTTAGCTATTACAAAAGAATGTGATCGAGATACTATCTCATTTCTTAGGTATTTTCACATTCCTTGTCTTATTGTTAATTTTGTCATTTTAATCCATTGCCTTAGTTAATTATTGTTTTTTGTAATCTTCTGCACTATTACTTTGTTAATTCTTAAGGGATGTTTGGTTTAAGCACTGTTGCAAAAATTGGTCTAGGCGTCTGCCTAGATCTTGCCTAGGCACTAGATGCTCCTAGATCGTGGCGACTTCTCCTCTAGGCGCCTGCCAAGCGCCTAACTTGACCGACTTGGCCGTCTAGGCAGCCGCCTAGCGTCTAATTAACCGAGTTAACTAGTTTATTTCAATCGAATCATCAACCCGATCAATTTGGCCTTGTTAATTGTTTTTTATTTTATATATATATATATATATATATAATCGAGACGAAGGTCCCTTATTCTCCAGGGAGATTTGCCTGTAGATGAGGGAGGGGAAGGGGGAGGGGGTTAATTTTAAATATTTATTATTATTTTTTAAAAAATATTTTTAAATTTGGGATTAATTACATTTTTTTTATGGTCTAATTACTGTTTGGTATGTAGTTAGATAATCTATTTGACTCTTATTAAAAAAAAATGACAATCTCACATTTTCTTAAATCAAAATATCATTTGATTTACGAAAGCTTCAAATTGTATCCATAAGCGGCAAAGAACTACAAGGAGATAAACCATCATAGATTATCTATAGTTGAGTGGACGGACTCATCTATTCTTAACCAAATGCCAAGGGTTCGATCTCTAGGTTTAGCCATGGAATATCCTAAAAGAAATGCTTATAATTTAACGAGAAAATTAATCATTGTATTCGACGTAAGTGGAAATCTTGGGTACCTCCAAAAAAATTATTAAATTGAAATCTTGAAGGATGATGACGAATTTTTGAGCGGTGCTTGATGTTGCAGAGAAATTTAATATTCTAGTTTGTGTTGGCCTGGGAAAGAAAAACATATCATTTCATGATTGATTCACTTTTAGTTGACAGCATAATTAAAGTCGTCGTCTATCTCATATCCATTGAGGTGAACCAAACATGGTGGATTTCAGCATATGTGCAAAACGTTACTTGCAGAACCAAACATGGTGGTTTCAGCATATGTGCAAAACGTTACTTGCAGAACTGAAACTTATTCCACAAACACTATCTCTGATCTATACCCATCACACGCCACCAAAATCTGACTGCATCTAAAAAGTGTGAACAAAAGTATTCCATTAATTATTATGCAATAATTTGGAAGATACGATATCGCGTAAGCCTTTCTCAATCTCATAAAGATTGCTCAATTCTTTATGCTTAAACTTATATTCTGCTTTACAAAAATGACAACCGTTTTGATAGAACATTATTCTCGTACTGAGTTCGACACCTTCACCCGTCACACACGATCTTGAGAATTACATTTTCTGTAGGTTGTAGACTATTACACAAAAGCGGGTTGCATACCCTTGAATAGTGGTTGAATTACCCAAAAACAGAATATATATTTAATGAAATAGAAAATATCTCTAAAGTCACAACACATAATTATTTATCTAGTATTCTTCAAATAATGACGATGAATTTTACACGTTATTCAAAAAAAATAAAAAATAAAAAATAAAAAATTCTCTAGCTTGATGCTTTGGTGTCAAACATGATTTCAATAATTTATTGATTATATATCTTTTTTTTTAAATAAAATATTGTTAGTATTATTTTTAATAATATCAAATATATCCAAATAAATATATAACTATATCTTATACTTTCTGCAATGATATCAATCAATAACATATATAGAAAATCCTTATTATTTCATACAAACAAATAAGGTAAGATTGATATTTTTTAGGAAATACTATCTAGCTTGTAGTCATCATCATTTTCTTCTCTAGGAAAAGGAGAAAACAGAAAGTACCAAGCAGCCACATCATCGTTAATATTCCCTCAATAACATTTTATGTATTCAGTTAGATTAACTATAATTGATTTCACGAGGACTATGGGGGTCTAATGGTACTCGGATTAGACTTTCATTTGAAAGGTTATGAGTTTGATTCTTTGTGTTTCAGTAGATTGAGAAAGTATATGAACAAATACTACAATGTAATAGGACCAGTAACATTAAAGAAAAAAAAAACTATAATTGATTTAAATTATTTATAATAATTTTTTATATGTATTAATTTAAGGAAAGTTTATGGTGCCCATTTTACACTAAATATAACTCAAAATACATATATAATTGTACCAAGTATTATAAAAATATACATGTGACAATCCCAATTAAATTAGTCGGACAATTAGTTTGATAATTACAAGATTTTAATTTTGCACTTTCAGGTAGCGACTCTATAAATCAAATAAAAAATCAAAACTATTATAACAACACAATTCCCTATGCAAATTAACATATATTATTCCTCATTAAGAGATAAAAATTTTATTAAAAACCCTTTATAAAGATGTTCCCTAATTATATTAGGAGGTTATAAAAATTGTCATTCTCTATAAATATAACATTTATAACTATATTATTTAAAATATTCCTTAAATAAGAATGTGAAACT